AAGCCACAGTATCAGCTTTATGTCACTGTACGATATGTCTGTCAGAGGACGCAGCTGCAGACACCAATTACCCATGCTACCTATGGCCCCCGAAGGCCTGTGTTCAACTGTCCCCTGCAAGAGACATACGCTGAAATCAATGGATGAATAATAATACGTAACAATGATGTGTGTTCAAGGTCCCAGCAGGCTTTTACAGTGCCACAAAGCCAAAGGATAACAGAGAGTGAGATTATATATTATTACAACTGTGAACCACAAGTGCAGGCATAACTCTGAAATACAACCACTGATAACTATTCAATTTGGAAAACACTGAACCAGATGTTGTATAGAAGGCATAGCTGGTGTACAATCGATGGTATGATTGAACTGATTTCCATCCACGAGTTTGCGCTTAATTTTGTATCTTGAAGCGGGAAGGGTAATAATGTTAGTGGGGTTAACACAGAACACAGAATAATAATTATATGTTTAAGGTAAGCTACAACAAAGGTTATATTATGGATTAAATTTATATTTGTTATCTATTCCATGACCTAAGACACCCTCTTTCTATTAATATATGTTTTACTGTTTCACTTCATCTTGAGTCTTTGGACAGTGGGCTGAGCAATGGAGGACTGTAACGGATGAACTTTGGAGCCCTTCATCGACAATCAGCACTAAATCCATCAGAGCTGAAGGTTTGAGTAAGCCTTCAACAGCATTCTGTCTTTGCAATCTATACAAAATATACAGTGTACAGGATATGAGGGTGGTGAGCTGGTGCTGGCAAAACAACAGATTAATGACACAAAGGTCTTGTATTAAGAGAAAGCCATTCCTCCCTCTTTATTCCCCACAATACTGGAGGTATTGAAATTATTTGGAAAATAGGTTTGGCTTTTTTAAGGGTGCTTCAGTGTGAGCTAAAAACAGCCACTATTATTAAACTATGAGCTCAAACCATAAATCATGCATCCTTTATCAACACACAAACAGTCACTTTTGAGATTATAGCAGCTGTACTATTGGCTACACCTAGCAGATGTAGCATCACACAAAGAATGGAAAGAAGCCATTTGTGAACTATTCCGTCTCTCCCACCTTGCTCAATTTATTCCTGTTCTTTGCACATTGACCAATCACAGTTCCTCGCTGCAGAGCGACGCGGTCAGATAACGAGCAGCCCAGGGCACTGTGTGTAAAGACTCTTAGATCAGTACCTTGTGGTTATCAGTCAAGGGCAGCAGCCGACCAGCCCTCTGCAGTATGCAAATGATTATGGTTGAACAACATGCTGGGACAAGATGCTAGCATACACTCTCTACACAGTCTCATGTTGAAGCTCTTAGCTTGTTCTGGCATTGTCAAACATTTATTGATCCCTCGATAGGGATTCAAGTGAATTCTAATTCAAGTGATTCAGTCGTGCAGAAAGTACACACACTTTACAAAATGTTAATACATTAGATTTCTAAAATAAAATCTTTTGGTTCTTATATCAGACCTCCCATCTGCCTCTGAAGCGTCTCGTAATGTCACACATGACATGTCTGATCAGATGGGGAAGATCAGCTGATAATAACATTGTTATTAGAAGAACAAAAACAGTCTGATTCAATTCAAAGACAAGATGAACATTCCTAAGGTGATATCAATACTAAATAAAATTACTTACTTAGGGTTAAAACGCCCTCAAAAGTCATTTTTTTGAGTTAAAAATAAACATGTCCATCCATCCATCCATTTTCTTCCCCTTAATCCATTTCTGGGTCGGGGGGGTGGCAGTCAGAGCTGCACCCAGTACACATAGCACCAGCCCCTCACTGATCCTCCTGCAGGTGGTGAGTCCACAGGAGCTGAGATCTTTCAGTTGGGGCTTTGGGCAAAGTAGGGTTAAGTGTCTTGCCCAAGGACACAACGACAGCAGTCATCAGTGGGAGTCGGGAAGTAGGTCTTACGGTGGGCTCGAACCCACGACCTTCAGGCCCAAAGGCCAATGCTCTACCAACTGAGCTACTGTCGCCCTAAAACTAAAAAATAAAAATGTGTTTATTATTATTATTATTGAAATTGGAATTGATTATTGAGTATTATTCTAGCATCGAATTGTTTCTTTTGATTTGTGTAAGCTCTAATATCAACCTAAATTGGTATTCATTTAAATGTTGAAATGAATTACTATGAAATATTCATTACCACAGGGATGTGTAAAAAGAAGTGTTATACAGTAACAAAGAAATATTGTTCTCATGAAGAACGAGAAATAGTGAGACACTTTCCATCTGTAAATGAAAGTCTTTAATTAGCAGCATCTAATGGTATGGAGGATGTTTTCTCCTGATGAGACGAAGTGGCCTGTTATATAAGAGTCCTGCACAGTCCCAAGAGATATAACATGAATAAAAAGCCGTCAGTTCAAAGAGCATTAGTGACATCCACAACACAACAGCCTGGGCTGTGGAGCAGAAGACAGTCTATACATAGCCGTCTCAAACAAGTAGCCTGAAGCTCCTCATTCAAGAGTGCATATGTAGTCTCACTAACTCTGCAGCAGAGTCTAGCATCATACGAGGCGCACACGATAATGAGTATACTGTCTGCTCTGACAAAAAGGGCCAGGGCCAGTAAAGCAGTCAGAAAAGCAGCCTCTCCAGTAAAGTCGGTGGACCGCTCTGTTAACAGAAAGATGAACCAAATGTACTGTATAGTGGCTGAAAATAAACTCTTGACAAAGCCCAAGTTCTTCCAATTGTCTTTAAATATTGTGAATACATGAAACTTAAAGTAGGAATATATGCATCATGAATGATAATGAGACTTTTAACTTCATGTTTTAGAATATGGAATCATTTTCTTAAGTGAAAATATATACTTTGAAAGTATCAAAGATAAAAGTAGTACCACAAGAGGAAGGAGTTGAAGTTATTATGTTTTTTTTCTGATTTAGAAAATTACTGGCTGTAAAGAATTAACTTTGCCTGATAAGTTGTTAAAACTATTTTAGGGAAAATACTTTAGCGGTGCTCAAGCCACAGTGATGGTTAAAAACTTTGATTGCAATTAATTACTCTAATTCAAATAACAGCCAAATTAAATTGAAAAACTGATCAAAATGAAAAAAATGAAAAGCAACATTACTTTTAAAATACCTTTGTCCTTGTATCCAATGTAGGCCTATACTGTAAATGTTCTTGAATGAAGAGAGTTGAATATCCGTGAGTAGAGGTATTATTAGTCCAGTCTGAACAGATAATTAATGCCTGAAAGAGGGAGGGGCTGTCACAGAGAGACACAAGCCAAAAATATCTCTTACTAATTTAACCATCCGGGTTTCTAATCCAGGAGGCCACACAGCACTGCTCTCCTGCTCTCCTCCTGCTGCTCAATCCCCTTCACACAGGGAGGGTTTACCTTCATCTTCATTCACACTGACACAATAACTGCAGTACTACACTATTACCAGCAGAATGTAAACTTAACACCGGGGTGCATTGAAATATATACAAAAAATATATAGTAAAAACAACACTAAAAATGGGTTGAAAGTTATTGTTAAAATTCCAAATCAACTATGTCATAGTTTTGGGGTTTGAAAATGAGGTAACCGGCCCTGGTTATCCAGCTGGAGCCAGTACAAGAGCAGAGTAGAGCTGTGTGGGATGGTGGGAACAGGGAGCAAGCTACCCTCACTTATTGAGTTGATTAATAAGACCTTTCTTTATGTTATGTTAATGATGTTACGTATATTTTTGATCAATTAATTGAATTTAAAAAATAAGTTTGTGACCAATAATGCAAAAACAGTAGCTCATCAAACGCTAGCTTAGCATTTTAGCTAACGTTAACTTTGAGCACGTGCCTAAACTCACGCTTCTAAATACAGTTTCAACAGAAGTCCATATAAGACTAAAGTCCACAAATTATAATCCCTTTCTCAAACCAAATGCACTTTATGAACATACCTCTACATCAGCATTCAATGTAAGAAAAATGTTCTGGAAAATGTGTTTTTTGTTGCGGTTGATGAGAACCAGAAAAAATGTCGAGTATTTTACATGAGCATGCTGCCACCTGCTGCCAGACTTTGAGACTACACAATGTCGAGAGCTCCAAACATTATATTTAGTCTATGCTCTAAACCTAAGATCACACCCCGCATCAACCGATGTTTTAAATTGTATTATAAAGTAACTTTTTTTTTGTAATTTTCAAGCAAGTCTTTATTATTTTGGCAAAACAAATAATACTATTACATTACTTTCTGCCATCTCTTCAGCTGGTAAAGGGTCATGATTGTCAAATTTATGGACATCTGGAACAGTATAAAAGGTTTTGGATAAATCTGATGGCAGGCAACAAAAGGCTTTTGAGTTTGGTCACCTTACAACCACGCTAAAGGACAAAATAAGCACATTTAGTAAGCAAATAAACGTTTATTATGCCTGCACAATCTTATCAGAGCAAAAGTTGTATATCAAACATTTTCACAGATTTTGATACATACAAAATTACTATAAAAGACCACCCTCTAATAAATCTTACACATTACATTGTCAATATGTGTCTGCACACTCAATTCTTAAAGCTTAAAAAACATGATTTTTTTTCCTCAGCATTCACCTCTACAGTAGCTCCAGCTTACATACTTCATATAAGACCGAAAATAAATATTTTTAAAAAATCAATAGTGTATTTAAGTCACAGCTCAGGATCATTGGTTACACAGGTTTTACCACATTCATTTAAAGAGGTTTGTAAAAATGATGGATTTTTTCTGATTATGGCAGGAATGCTGATGTGAACAGACTTTTATTCCAGAGTGTGAAAACGTGGCTTAAGCATAAAATGAAATAAACGATGTGAAAAATGCTTTTTTGCATTTTCAATCAGTCAGACAAACACTACAAACCCGTGCAGTGTATGTAACTAAGGCAGCAGCCCTACAGCAGTAATACAGTTGTCTTCATAAACAAAATAGTGTTCATCAGGTCTTGGAGCAGGACAAAGAAGATTTATGGGACAGTGACATGGAAGGGGCTGCCAGGGATGTTCTCGTCACCCCACTTCACTATGAGGATATAGCTGCCCTGCTCTTTGACTGTGTAGGTGACATTGTACATTCTGTTGCCCATATGTTTCACATAAACCTCCTCACAGGGAGTCTTTGGCCCATGCACACCTACCATCAACATGTTGGTGCCTGGAAGCAAAGAGAAAACAAAATATTACACTGTTCACTTTTTTCAATTCACTGTCATTCAGAAAGATTCTTTAAATGGCATCCATCATACTGGTAATGACTATTTTGTAGTATTACTTTTTGTTTTATGTATTTACCTGCATTGCTGCAGTCCACTGTAAATGCATTCTTCTGACCAACAAAAGCTTTTGAAAGTCCTGCCCCCCGCGAGATGACCTTACTAGCATCTGAGGAGAATTTGGGCAAAGAGCTGAAAGCCCCAACTACTGCAGAGGACTTGGAAACAGTTTCAACCAACACTGAGGAGGTTTCATGAAGACTATGGCCACCAGAAAGACGTGGACCTGCAAATAATGAATGAAAATACAATGATTTCAAAACCTCAGACTATTTATCTTGTTTCAAGGAAAAGCAGATGGATGTCGTCATACCTGTAACTTTAGCCTTGAAGGGGCTACCCACAATGTGCTGAGGGCCTCCATATTTAATAGAGATCAGATAGCTCCCTGGAGCCATGGGCGTGTAGAAGACCTTGTAGCCCTCAGAACACTCCTGGCAGTCCATCTTCACTTTGGACGGACCATCAATAGTCACCGACAAAGCTCCTGCGCCTGCATTACACGTATTAACAACAAACTCTGCTGCCACACCTGTAAGAATAGATTAAAAAGTTAGAAACATTTAAATGTAATTTTGTTCTTTCGATATCTTGATTATTGAATTTGTGTATACCCGTGATTCCACCCTCCAGTCCAGGTCCAAAAGCAGACACCATCCCAGGATCACCAACCTGTCCTACTTCCCCCACTCGGATTTTAAAGGGGCTTCCCGGTATATGGCTACCATTGAAGCGCACATCAATGGAATGAACTCCATTTTCTCTTGGGATAAACCTAATAGCATACTGATCTGTGGAGAATCAAACAAACTCTTTTTGCTGATATCAACCTGGTTAAATGGTTAAATAAGGGACAACAGGTGAATATTGAATGAAATAGGATTAAAATTGTTGACAATAACCTTTATCTAACTCTGTGATGTAACACTCTTCAACAGCTCCGGAGGGTGTGTGGATCTTGGCATCAACCAGACCTCTGACCCCATTGAGTTGCACTGCAAAGGAGGCCTCCTGTCCCACCACCAACCCCATCTCCTAAAAGACAGGTTTTTTTAATTGATTGACTGCGGAACCTTCCGCAGTCAACCATTGGTTTTGTATTTCTTTATTCCGTCATTTTTTTTGACACGTTTCACAGCTTTCACATTTTCAACAATTTCCACAAGTTATACATCAAAACGTTCCACATGTTTGGGAGATTATTGCTATTACTTTTGGGACTTCAGCGATTTCCGGTTTTTCCGCAATCGGACAAAAATCTGCATTGAGAATTCTGCAATGCATTTTAATAGGCCCATGCATTTTAATAGGACTTCAGCTCTTTCAGACATTTCTACAGTTTCAATGATTCAACAGTTTCAAGGATTCAACAGTTTCAAGGATTTCAGCAGTTTCAAGATTTCAAGAGTTTCAAGGACTTCAGCAGTTTCAAGGACTTCAGCAGTTTCAAGGACTTCAGCAGTTTCAAGGACTTCAGCAGTTTCAAGGACTTCAGTGTAATCATGCAACCTAATAGGGATTTTTCCATGTAAACCAGTATAATGCAACTTAATAGGGATTTTTCCATGTAAACCAGTATAATGCAACTTAATAGGGTTTTTTCATGTAAACCAGTATAATGCAACTTAATAGGGTTTTTTTTCATGTAAACCAGTATAATGCAACTTAATGGGGATTTTTCCATGTAAACCAGTATAATGCAACTTAATAGGGGTTTTTACATGTAAACCAGTATAATGCAACTTAATAGGGTTTTTTCCATGTAAACCAGTATAATGCAACTTAATAGGGTTTTTTCCATGTAAACCAGTACAATGCAACTTAATAGGGATTTTTCCATGTAAACCAGTATAATGCAACTTAATGGGGATTTTTCCATGTAAACCAGTATAATGCAACTTAATGGGGATTTTTCCATGTAAACCAGTACAATGCAACTTAATAGGGATTTTTCCATGTAAACCAGTATAATGCAACTTAATAGGGATTTTTCCATGTAAACCAGTATAATGCAACTTAATGGGGATTTTTCCATGTAAACCAGTATTATGCAACTTAATAGGGATTTTTCCATGTAAACCAGTATAATGCAACTTAATAGGGTTTTTTTCATGTAAACCAGTATAATGCAACTTAATAGGGTTTTTACATGTAAACCAGTATAATGGAACTTAATAGGGGTTTTTACATGTAAACCAGTATAATGGAACTTAATAGGGGTTTTTACATGTAAACCAGTATAATGCAACTTAATAAGGATTTTTACATGTAAACCACTATAATGTAACCTAATAGGGGTTTTTACATGTAAACCAGTATAAAGCAACTTAATAGGGATTTGTACATGTAAACCAGTATAATGCAACCTAATAGGGATTTTTCCATGTAAACCAGTATAATGCAACTTAATAGGGATTTTTCCATGTAAACCAGTATAATGCAACTTAATAGGGATTTTTCCATGTAAACCAGTATAATGCAACTTAATAGGGATTTTTCCATGTAAACCAGTATAATGCAACTTAATAGGGATTTTTCCATGTAAACCAGTATAATGCAACTTAATAGGGATTTTTCCATGTAAACCAGTATAATGCAACTTAATAGGGGTTTTTACATGTAAACCAGTATAATGCAACTTAATAGGGTTTTTTTCATGTAAACCAGTATAATGCAACTTAATAGGGATTTTTCCATGTAAACCAGTACAATGCAACTTAATAGGGATTTTTCCATGTAAACCAGTATAATGCAACTTAATAGGGATTTTTACATGTAAACCAGTATAATGCAACTTAATAGGGATTTTTCCATGTAAACCAGTATAATGCAACTTAATAGGGTTTTTTCCATGTAAACCAGTATAATGCAACTTAATAGGGGTTTTTACATGTAAACCAGTATAAAGGATAACAGTTTAAAGGATATCAGGAGCTTCAAATACTTCAGGAGTTTCAAAGATGTTTAAAGTATTTTAACAGTTTCAAGGATTTCAAGGATTTTTCAGCTAAATTCCACATTAGATCTGTTCCGCAGTCAATCGCAATGGCTTCAGCCATTGCAAGTTTCTAGTGTTTTATTTTCTTTAAACCCAGATGACCAATAGAGTCATAGTTTTCACTCAATTTCGCACCTGCAGGCTTGTGACTGTGAGGCGACGGACATCATCTGACAGTGTGGCGACCGGAACAATAAAAGGAGAATCTGGGATGTGCTCATCATTAAATTTAATAGATACTTCATAATCACCTGGAATACACAACATAGCAGAACATCAGACAGGTTCATTGCTTTCTTCAGGCCAGTGACTGCAAAATATGCATCTCATGTCCTTCTATAAATGTGTACAGTATTTCTCTTAAATACGATTCTCACCAGGCTCCTGAACTACATAGGAAACACCACATGATCCGTCCTTTCTATCTTCAAAGGTGATCTCGGCCTTACTGGGTCCCTCTACAGCTATGGACAGACCTCCAGCTCCTGCCTCTCGAGTCCAAATACTGAACTCAGCTGTAGAACGAGAGCAGAGTATAACTCAATCACTCCACAGATCCCAATACAAAAAAACATGACACAGCGAACTATTTTAATACCTGGGATCCCTGCCACTCCTCTGTCCAGACCAGTACCCCCAGCTCGGACTTTATGGGCCCCTCCCTCACCCAGGGGCCCCACAGTGAATTGGAAGGGGCTGCCAGGGACGTGCTGGCCCCTGTATTTGACATTGACAGTGTGAGGGCCCATTTCCTCAGGGATAAAGCGGACGCTGTACGTGCTGTCCTCTCCTCGGATGATTTCGGCGTCCTCAGTTTTGCCGCTGGGGCTGGTCACCTGAGCGGTCATCTCTTGGTTTGCCACCTCACCTGCACGGAAGACACAAACCGAAGGGTTGAGTGTTAATAATACAATAATATCTATTATTATTGTTATTATTATTATTTACTGATCATGAAAGATGGGCAAGAAGTTCCAGTGCAAGCATTGTTTATTAGAATGTTATTTGGGAGAGGAAGGAAAGAGGATCTCACAAATTAGAAGCATGCTTGTTGATCATTTTTCATCACCTCTGCAAAAAAAAAAGCTTAATATTTGTTTTTCCTTTTGATTAGTATGAACTGCACACACATATCCACACACCATCCTGCAGTGGTGGCCTGCCACCAGCTGGCATCCCGCTGAATCCACTCAGAGCATCACGACCAAGGAAGTCTCCAAACACGTCTCTGAAGGGATCACTTCCCAGCTGGGTGCTCTCCTCCACTCGCACCTCCCTCTTGGTCTCACCTCCGCGGGTTTTACTGATCTCTGTCCTCTCTGTGCGGGTGTAAGTGTGGCTGCTGCGTGTGAATGTCCGCGTCAAACGCTCCTGTGCTGAAACCATCTGAAACCAGTTTCCTATAAATGAAGCAGGAAGTGAGCAGGGGACAGAGCCAAGGCTAAGGTGCATCGTGGGAAAAGGAAAGAACTGAAAGGACAGGAAGCTTCAACAGAGAACAGGGAATTCTCACCTGGGATTTTGAGGTTAAGGTCACAAGTGCTGCCCACCGAGGCGATAGACGGAGCCTGTCGCCTTCTGGTGATGCTCTCCTTCATCCTCCCTTCTCCATACACTTTTACTGTAAATGGACTTCCTGTCGGTCAAAAACACTTTGTGAACAACGATCATTAATCAACAAAGGGACATTTTCAGACAGTGTCTCCAACCTGGAACATGCTGGTCAGCAAACTTAATGTTAATGATGTAGTTTCCAGGCTCAGTGGGACAATAGGTGACTTTACACGTCCCGTCCTCCACATCCTCACAATTAATGTCCACTTTACTGGGACCTTCAATAGACAGCCCCAAGCCTCCATAGCCTGAAATACATTTGAAGTAAACAAAATAAGGTGTGTAAATTATATATATATGTCATTCATGTACCGTGGAGTTTGTATGTATATAGTCTAAACAGTATTTTGTGTGTGTTTTCACATTTCAGTTTTTGGGAAAATAAAATAAAATAAAAAGTGTTTTGATCAGATTGCTAATTTACCTGCATTTCTTGTATCAACAATGAACTCGGCTGTTTCCAGAGTATGTCCCTCCACTAAGCCCTGGCCGAACACTTTGACCTTGGTTGCGTCTCCAATCTCTGATGGTCCCACCATGATTTTAAATGGGCTGTTGGTTACGTGCTTTCCAGCCTTCTTTACACTCACCACATGTTCACCCACTTCTTTAGGTGTAAAGGATATTCCTACAGAGAATTTTAATGATTAAATGCTTTATTTCAGCTTATAAGTATGTGATAAAAGGAGAATCTCACCAATATGGCGGTTTGGAAGCCTTTTGAGAAGACATGGCTCCTCATTTCCAGATGGAGCTCTGATGCTGGTGGTCAGACTGCTCAGGTCTGTCTCTGTGATCTTCAGGGACACATCTGTAGCTGTGCCAACGTTCAGTTGAGACATTCTCATTGAGTCATCTCCTGAATATTTTAAAAACAATATTAATCTATAAAGTTTTCATCAAATGTTTGAAAACTCTATTGAAGGTGCGTTTGCACCTGTGATCTTAGCCGCAAAGGGACTGCCTGGGATGTGTTTGTCATCAAACTTGACAAGGATGTTGTAGTCTCCAGGGGCAGTGGGCAGGTAGGAAACAGTGCATGTTCCATCTTTGTTGTCTTTACAGCTTATTTCAGCTTTAGAGGGTCCTTCCACAGCCAATGACAGGCCACCTACAAAAAAGAAAAGTTAACATGCTTTCTTTATTATCATTATCACAATGGTATACTGTTATATAGTAACTATTATGTTCTGTATCACCTTCCCCTGCATCCTTGGTAATAATGGTGAAAGCAGCTGGTCTGTTTATCATACCATGGCTGAGGCCTGGACCAAAAGCTGTGACATGACCACTGTTTATAGCATCCACATAAAATTGGAGTGGACTTCCTATAACCGACATTTAAAAGAACAGATTATAAATGTAGTTTTTAAAATAAAGGCACAACATTATTGTTTACCTGGGATGTGGTTTCCATCATATCTGATGTCCATCTCATGCAGGCCTTTTTCAGTGGGAGAGTATTTCACAGTTACAGTTCCATCTTTGTTGTCAGTGATGTAGGGGCAGGCAGTTTGACCAGAGGGCATTCGCACAATGCCTACACAACACCAAATGTTGCAATACATTATAGGTGTAGGAGTGGTATCGGTAAATTAGTTCCATTAAATATTGTAATAATCTTTAAAAAATCTTTTAAAAATACCTGTGATCTCTCCTTTTTGCACAGTAAAAGGAATTACCAGGCTGAAAGGGCGGAGCACAGCCTCCATCCCATCCACAACACTCATGGGGTCATCAGTGGCCTACACCAAAGGCAAAAGGAGAAGGCATGAGTCACATAGTGGAAGTAACAAGAGAGAAAAGGGAAGAGTCATCTTTAGCAATACAGTGGAGGTGAAGCATAGATTGACCTAAAGGAACATTAATTAGAGCGGTTTTGAGTATTAGCCAAAGTGTTTGCAGGAAATGGGATAGTAAATTACTACGGCCTCAGTGGTCAGGAAGCAGAGAGGATCATCATGCAACACAAACATCTAATGCAGCATTATATCTATGAGTTGTAACGCTGACGAGTTTTGCAATGCTGACGAGCTGTGGTGCTGATGAAGAATGGTTTGTAAGAGCCAGAGTGGCTAGAAAAATAAAAGTTGATAATATTATTGTACCCATGAGGGGGATAAGCCCGAATAAGGAGAGTAGGGCGAATGTATTTGAAGCTTGTCAAATGGTTCTTCGATCATTGGCATGGTTTCAGAGGCCTGGAAACGGGAAGCAGGGTAAAGTTCTTTAAACAAACTATGATGGATATACTATTAAATTAACATATCATAACTATAGTTTTGGTAATTATAATTTCACAAATGAGTTACAAGTTTGCAGTATGCAGTTTTCACCAACATACGTCATCTTCTCTCAACAGACTCACCACCACATGGAAGGGGCTGTTCGGGATGTGTTCCCCTCCAAATCGGATTGTGATCACATATTTCCCAGGCTCTGGTGCTGTGTAGTAAATGTCAAAGGTCCCGTCTGCGTTTTCCACCACATCCACATCCAGTTCAGCACCATCAGGTGTGGACACTTTGCAGGTCACTTTGCCTTTCCCAGCAGCCTTTGCATCTACAGTGATGACTGTCTCCTCCCCAATCTGAATTGTGGGGCTGACTCCAGAACCTTATGATTTCGAAGTAAAAGTAAAAATACATATTCATGTAAATTACACAGACATTTTTAACAAGCAAATTTTTAATCAAAAGTGTCTAAAAAGTACTGACCTGGTCCGTGTCCTCCAATTGACACTAAAGAACAAAAAAGTCCACAATCAGACATATGACCCCAAATGAAGTATGTAATCGTATTTAGTTGGACTGACCTGTGACTAGACACTTGCTGGCATCGCCCGAGGGGACAGCATGGATACGGTACGGTGAGTATGGAATCTCATCCCCTCCATACTTGATAGTGATGGTGTAGCGACCGGTCATGTCAGGGACATAAGATACTGTGTATGTCCCATCCCGGTTGTCTCGTATATTTGCCTTCTTGGGTTTCCCCTCTGGATCCTAAAGACACAAAGAGCGGTGTAAAATTCTATAAACAATTAAATGACATCACTGGTCTCCAAGCAGAAGCCAAAACACGCGTTCTGTAATTCCAGGAGATACAAATTAAACGCTCTTTATTTCCAAAACTAAACGTTCATATCTAAATCAGTGAAATACGTATAGATGTGAAATCTCACAAATCCACAAAAAACAAAAAGGAAAAATAAGGAAACCTAAAAGGCTCAAGGCTGTTCTCTTTTGCTGAAAGCAAAGCAAAAGCTCCTGGTAATGAGAGACCAGTGATGTAAATGCATAAAACATTTATCAGAAAGGAAACACATAGAAACTGTTGGACTATGATTTGTCTAACTGTTGGAGGCAATCCTCTGTTAGAAAAATCATAAAATTAACTTGTTAGCTTGCGAGGAAAAAATCTATGAAGTTAAGTCCAGAATCATGCTAAGGGTATGATGGCTATTATTCGATCATATTTACTCCAAACAAAATGAAAATATTTACATACAGTCATGGCAATGACAATATTGGCACCCCTTTGCATTGCTCAGATAAGTTTATGGTTAAGGCAAACTTCATTGTCCTCGCAGGGACATTCCTCAATGCTACTAGAGAGACCTGTCAGAGGCAGTGGTTGCCACAGAGCGCCCAGGGACCGGTCTTCAGGTTTTATTGCTCAGCTCTGTCAGGACCAGAGCTGGAGGATTTTACCCATAATATATATTTATATTAGGACACCCACCAAGACATGGACAAAAACAAGAAAGTCCCAGATCGGCTCAGGAAAAAAAACCTCAACCTACTTGTAGTATACATATCCAATATCAATACACACTGAATCAGAGGAAAAATCAATCTGATAGTGTTAGGACAAAAATAATTAACAAAAAATAAAAATTGTCAGAGGTGGCAGTCCACACAACATATTAATCAAAAGAAGAAGTGGTGCTTGTTGTATTGTGTACAGTATATTAGCACAGGGGTGCTAATATTTTGTATCAATGACTGTAGGTGTTATGATGAATGGCTGAACACTGGGGAGGTGAGTGGGAAAGGGGCGGAGGAGCCTTACACTGCCTTTCTTAAGAATATGGAAGGGGATGGTGCCTTTTACTATATGTGTCTCCCACACCCTCCTGCCCCAGTCCTCCGCATAAACAGAGGCCTCACGAATGCCCCCGTCCGGACCCTGCAGCGGGACACCACCAACAGAACGCACACAAACGGGATAAGCACAGATTGAATCACAAGACTGAGTGAAGAGTGAGTAACACAGACAGAGACACTGAGATACGTGAAATAAACAAAACAAATAATTCCACTTACCAGTATTTGAACGGTGAGCAGTCCCTCGCCTGCATCTCGAGCATCAATAGTGAACTCCACAGGTAAACTGGCTGGGACCCCTGATGAATTTAGGCCTGGACCACTAGCACGAACTTTACTGGCATCATGAGCAGGCAGTGTCTTTATTTTAAAGGGGCTACAAAAATAAAGATGTTTAAATTATAAGATAAGATTAACTTTATTGATCTCACACAGGAGAAATTTACATTTGAATATATATATATTATATTATATTATATTATATATAATATTTGTATCTAGTAATAATTGACAGTCCCAAACTATTTACCTGCGTGGGACTTCCTGGTCAGCATACTTGACATAGATTGTGTAGGGAGCATCAAGGGCAGGTGTGTAGTTCACTGTGTAAGTGCCATCTCCATTGTCAGTAATGCTCACTGGTTCTGTCAGACCTGTAGGCAGAGCAAAAACAGAGAAATATTCATCTCACTCAAATGTCACAGAATAAATGGTTTGCTGCTTTTCTTACCTGTTGGCCCATACAAGAGAACCTCTAACTGGGCCATCCCAGCTTTACTGGTGTCAACAGTGAAAGTCTGGGGCACCTGGGCTCGAACCCCGTTTCCAAGTCCTGGACCTGAGCACCGGACTTTACTTGGATCCACCACTTCTCTCACAGGTACCTTGAATGGACTTCCTGCAACATAGTCCACGGATGTTGGAAGAGTTGACAACAATGTAGTGCAGTGTGAAGGGCACTGACCTGGGATGGGAAGTCCACCAAAGGTAATGTTGACGTCATACTCTCCTGGAGTGAAAGGAATGTACTCCACACTGCAGCTGCCATCCTTGTTGTCCTTACATGACATCTTAGCTTCAGACGGACCCTCAATGGCTAAGCCCAAACCCCCAGTGCCAGCCCCCCTGAACAGAGCACAATTACAACTGATGAGATTGACATTGGTCACTCAGATGGTTACATACACTGTAAAAAGACACAAGATTATCTTTTTCTTACTGTTTGAAGTTATAAAAAAAATAGACCTCACTGTGAATTAATATTGAGAGAAGACATTTAGGTCTGTACTTTCTTAACTTCAGACATACATCCACTTTCTTCCAGAGAAGATTGAAGAGCATTCTAATTCTTTCACCATTCATCAGGATCAGCATGTTTCTGCACTGTAAACAGCGATTGCGCCGGACAGTTCCAAACTCTTCCCAGTCCCAGGTTTTTGCCAACAACTCAGGCAATGGTTCGTCTGGCCTGGTGGGGCTGGACACCTGCTTTTGGAGTCCCACAATCTAACTGATGGCAACCCTTACTTCCAGAGTGCACCAATGGGTTCAGAGACAGCTACAAGCTACTACACCAGCAATGGAAGAAGAGAACATGGTCCACTCAGACTCAATGTCCCCCTCCTCGTCCGGGACCTGGGAGAAGCTTCTGTGGGTTGAAAGGCCTAGGGTGTCCTGGTGCCACATGCACTTTTGGACACCCATGCTGTGTGGATGTGAGCCGCCTCACTGTAGCCTGGTGTTGTGTGCATGGACTGTGTTGTGGAGATCTCTGCCTTCAACCACCGCAGAGTCCTCTGAGCATAAGACTCCCATTAACCCGTCTGCAGGTGGTGGGTCCTTGATATTGTTCTGTCCTTGAAGAAGTCTTCCGAATCCTTTTAATAAATATTACAGTAACACCAGCTCAGTACCTTGTCTCCACCGTGAAGCGGTTTGGTTTGTTCACAAGTCCCTCCTCCAGACCAGTACCATAAGCACGCACTCGACTGGGGTCACATCCTTCAGTGACCACAACCCTAAATGGACTATTAGGGACCACCACATCTTCATACAATACTTCAACAAGATGCAAACCTATGAACAGATACAACAAGTTGTTAAGTTGCAATCCGATTAAAAAAAAATCTAATTATTAAATGAAACCATTGCCAAAAACAGATTTATAATTGAGGATTAAAAGTATAGATATTTTTGGGGTCCCACAAGAGATCTGTTATGAGAGTTTGAGGTCCACACATAGGGTGACATGTAGCTCATTACTATCAGTGGAAAACTATCTGGCTTCTTCTATTAATACCAGGCTCTCTGCTTTCCCTCCCACGAACTGCACTGGCCTCAGTGGTCATGCTGTTTGTAGATTCATTTAAAAAACAAATTTAATCAGTTGTTACTTAAGTAGCTGTAGTAGTTGCAAGTAGTTGTAATCAAAAGAGAGTACAATAATATGTGTATGCAGATTCTCACTTTAAAGACATCATAGGAATGTAACTTGTTTTGTAACAACAATAACATATCTTTTACACATATCTGAATATCTTTACTACCACAACAGCTCACTAGAAAGCATCTCATAAATGTAGGTATATGGTTAGTTCCAAGCAGTAGCGGCGCCAGGTTTGCAATTTTGGGTAGGCCTGCAGATTAGTAAGTAGGCCAAATTCGCACGCAAACTACAAGGGGTAGCTGGAATTGGGGTTTCAAAGAATATGGTTCAAACGCACGCACGCGCACACACACGCACCCAAGCACACACATACACACAAGCTCATTTATGAAACTTGCGTAGAAAAATGTGTACATTTGGGGTGTATATTCCATTTACGCAAAATCCAACGTCGGATTTATGAACGTGTGAGATCAGCCCGGATCTGAGCGTATACGCAGCTGCGCAGTGCGGGTGTTGATAAATCGGCTGAATACAAACGTATTTATGAAAGTCACGCCTAGAATTATGCAGCAATGTTCGCGACAGGTCAGCACGGAAGTCCAAAAAGACTGTTGGAAGCCTCAAAAGGCACGTTTGTTTGTTATGTTTATGTAAAAATAAATATACGCTATATATTCAGCTGCGTTTTGCACAAATTTGCAAAAATAGTTTTGATACATTAGAAAAATCTCTCTTGAATTGTAGAAGTGAATAAATATAGATTGATTGAATGAATGAATGAATGAATTCATATTTATTATGCAGCGGTGGCTCTCATGAATGAAGCGTCTGCAGTGTCTTGGACGCAGCCTGGCTCGGGGTAGAAGTGCGCATTGAAGCACTGTACACTTCAGAGAGTGTTTGCGGTCCAGATTTCACAAAGAAACTGAAGCCAAAACTTCTGCACATTTGAGGAGTTATGTGGCGCGATATCTCACGGCACTCGCTGCGCACTCTGGACAGGGCAGTGAGACATTTGGAGTGAGCAATACCATCGGTGCGTTATTGGGGTGTGTGTCTGTGTGAGGCTAACACAAATCTAATGAAATAACACATTGCTTTACCAGATGTGAGGAATACAAATAGCCGTGCGTAATTACGCAGTGCAGAGCCTGTCACAGCAATAGCTGGGTCACACATCCCTGTTGCGTAAAGTGTATTTATATAGAGCCTTTCACAGTTCAGGATCACAAACCGCTTCACATTTAAAAAACATATACAGATCAAAATAATACACACACAAGTCAGATTTAATAGAGGGTCCTGATCATGAGCTGTGATTTATTCGAAGTTTGCATTTTTCCATTAGACTTTTTCCGATGCGCAAATTCAACTTTTGAAACATGATGCTCAATGAAAACACATCTTATAATTTTGCCAGAGGGAATATGTTTATTGTTGTCCAAATCCTGAATTTCATGCGTGTTTTGGCGTGTTGAGCCGAAGGTTGAGATCAGCGTATACGTTTACTCCACCTCCAGCCCTGTCGTATATTTTTTTGCGTATTGTACGCTCACGTCCAGATAGATAAATGCGGAAAAGTGATTCCACCCTGATTTACACCCTGATTTGTCCGTACGCAAGTTGCCCTGTGTGTCTCACACACACACAGGCCTGGGGTTTACTGGCTCTGGCTCCTCTACCTCACGAAGTTCACGCTGAACTTTCTTAAAACTAAAATGACTAAAAAGGCTGCTCTGTTGTGAATGTTTTGAGAGCGTTGTCAATCTTAAAGACGAGGAATGGCTGCTTGTTCTCGGGAACGAGCTTCGCGCTGTGTGATATGATCATCCAGATTATTGGACAAAATTATTCAGCCAATAAACAGGACTATATTTGAAGCAACGTGAACGCTCAGGGGGTTACATTTTCTTAAAACATTAGAACGCAACATTTAGGCAATAATGTGTGTATAAAAATAACAATATTTAAATTATGACTTTTAATAAAAAGGCTAATGACTTGAGAGGCGAAGAACAAATTTGAGTAGGCCAAGAAAAAAACTGGTAGGCACCGGCCTACCCGGGCCTATCCCTGGCGCCGCGGCTGTTTCCAAGTAAACATTGGTTTGACTACTTATGGTTCACTTTGAACAGAAAGGCTAATTTTGTGGAGATGTGAAACCACCAGTAGTCACTTATAATCTATGATTTTATGAGGACTGTTGCATTTCCTTCTGAATAGATAGCTTTGCATTATATTACTCGAAGAATGCTTTCTGCGTCTAAATTCACCTGGGTACAATAAAGTTGAAACTTGAGCTCTATTCTTTATAACGATAATGCTTCTTACCATCCTCATAGGGCGTGTACTCCACTCTGTAGGTGCCATCGCCTTTGTCTGTTATGAAGGCATCTGTGGTGATGCCTGAAGGATTTGAGATGCCCACTTTAATGTGATTTCCTCCAGTTTTTGCAACAACTCTGGCATCTACAACAAAATGTGTGGTCACTTCCTTCAAGAGACCTGTATAGAGAAAAACAAGTTTTAGACTTGGGCCAAGTGGCGTTATTCAATTGAATATTATTGATGACCTCTTGGTTCGACTCCTGGCCCATACACAAGGACTCCACTGGTGTCAATGGCTGGGTCCACTTGCACTTGAGTGGGGAAGTTTGGCACAGACTGTCCTCCATATTTAATGGTAATGGTGTACATTCCTTGAAACTGTGGGATGTAAGTGATTGAGTAGGTGCCATCGCTGTTGTTTTGTACATGGACCTCAGCTTTCACTCCTGAGTCTGAGATTATCTCAATTGTGAGCTCTGCCTCTCCAGCTTTTGAGCAGTCCACAGTGAAGGAGCCGTCCTCATTAACTTTTCCCCGCTCCAGACCTGGACCACTAGCTGTCACTTTGCTTGGGTCAAACACTGGCAGCACTGACGCTTTGAAAGGGGACCCAGGGATGTGCTGGTCTGCAAACAAAATGTTGATGGAATATTCTCCTGGCTCAGTGGGCAGGTAGGACACAGAGCAGGACCCATCTCCATTGTCTTGACATTCAATTTTAGCTTCACAAGGCCCCTCTACTGTCAGACCAAGGCCGCCAGTTCCAGCTCCTTTTGTGTCAATGGCAAATGGTGCAGGTTTACCAACAACACCCCCCTCAAGTCCAGGGCCGTAAGCACGCACCTGATGAGGAATGACAGTGTTTGATTGACTCTAACTTTTCTAAACAAGCTGGGAGATATTAGAATTCTTTTACCTTTGATGGGTCAGGAGGCATGACACCTTCCACTGCAAAGGGACTACCTGTAATAGGGTTTCCATCATAAGAGATATCCACTCTATAGGTTCCCTCTTCTGGCGGGATGTACTTTACTGTGTATATTTCATTGCTGGTGCTTGACTCAAGTTTGCATGGGATAGGCCGTCGCGATGGAGAGGTTATTTTCACATCCAGTTTCCCTTGACCTCCAGCTCCTCTTGTACAAACAGTAAACTCCTGATCCTTTCCCACATCCACTTCTGTGTGAACATGTTGATGCTGTATATTAATCTGCAGTTGAGAATGGATGAATTTTCGCACTTACTCGTATTCAAACCCTGGGCTTTGACCTTGTTGAGATCGAGAGGAGGCGCCACGTTGATGTTGAACGGGCTCTTAGGGATAGCGTCTCCACCATGACATACTGTGATCGACATGTTTCCCTTTGAAAGAACAGAAATCTTTTGTTAAAGGAAGGAACATTAGTCCAGTTCTCAGGTCTCTGCACTGGCTTCTAGTGACTCAGAGAAAAGACTTTAAAGCAGCTCTCCATGGCCTCGCACCATAGTACATCCGTGACATGTATGTGATGTATGAATCAACTCGGACTCAGAGGAGCACAGGGACTGGCCTCCTGCTGATGCCCAGAGTCAGGACTAAACATGGGGTGGCAGCGCTTCAGATTTATGTAACTAAAATCTGGAACAGTCTTTCTGAAAATGTGAGACAGGCTTCATGACTACAAATCCCGGTTCCTGTGCATACAACTGAAGGATTGTTTCTGCACTCGTTTTAATGTACTGTAATTATTTTCTTATTCTAATGTGTTGTGTGATCATTTCTATCTTGTTTTGTTAAGCACTTTGAGTTCTCTTGTATATCAATATTTAATCAATCAATCTATATTTGATTGTAAAGCACATTTACTTACCAAAGTGCTGTACAGACAAGTGATAAAAAAGCTACAATAAAACACATTTATATACAAATAATAGGAATATACTGTATATAAATAAAAATCTTATTCTACCTGGTTTTGAAAGCCAAAGACAAAAAGTGCGTCTTAAGCAGGTATTTAAAGTGCTCGAGTGTTCGTTCAAAGGTAAAGAGTATGAACTGTGCTGTACAAATGACGCTTCCTTGCCTTTCAGAATTCATGAACGGCTTGTGACACAGATGGCAAGGCAAGTTTATCTGTATCACCCAATTCAAACACAAGGCAAATCAAAGTGCTGAGCAGAACAAGATTAGAATAATAGAATAATATTTGAATAAGCATTAAAATCATAAATTGTCACAGTAGGTAAAAAGAGTACAGATAAAGTCCGAGTTGGTTCATATGGCACTAACATGTCACTTATGTACTTTGGTGCCAGGCCGTGGAGAGACTTGCACAAAAGTAAAAAATACCTGTTGAATAGCAGTGTAGCGGACGGTGTAAGAGTAATCGTGGTTGTCAATGATCTCAAAGTCGCGCACAGCTTCACTCTTAACTCCTCCAGAGAAGTACACTTCAGGTACAGCCTTCCCAGCTCCCTTTGTGTAAATGTTGAAGTGAGTAGGTTTTCCAACTTCAACTCCTAACCGAGCCAAAACAAGAGAAAGGCATTTAAATGATTGTGGAAAAACAAGGAAAGTGATATTTTTTTTAGACAATTTCGCACCTATCTTGCTCAGTCCTGGTCCTTCAGCTCTGACCTTTGCCGCATCGTGAGAAGGCTCTACTCTTATTCTGAAAGGACTGACTGGGATTTCCTATTTCACACACACACACAAACACAGACACAGACACACGCACACACACAGACACACAAATAACCTCTGCTTTAGAATGACCTATCCCAGGAGAGATTCATGTCTTTAAGTATGTTTTCTTACCTGGTCAGCAAACAGAACCATAATGGTGTAGTGTCCAGGGCCAGGTGGTATGTACTTTACTGTAAACGTGTCATTGTCATTTTTGATTATGTCGAAGTCAATATCGGCCTCTGCGGGGCCGACCACACCAGGAGCACACTTGATCCCAATGCTGACGTCGCCTGGAGAAAGACGTGTGCATTTTAAACAACGACAAGAGAAAGTAATGAGATCGTACTGGAGACCTTACCCTGTCCGGCCTGACTGCAGTCCACGGTGAAGTAAGTCGGTTCGTTTGCCTTTAGTCCGAGCTGCTCCACCCCTGGACCATAGACCTTCACATTATCAGGATGACTGCCTTCCCCGATCGTCACCTGTTTAAGAGAAACAAACAGTGAAATGACATGAAATACAGGTGAAACTCTGAAAATGTTGTTCAAAAGTCCATTTACTTTGATTCAACTTACAATGTGAAACTAATATGAGAGAATCATTACAGGCAAAGTGAGGCATATCAGGCCTTTATGTGTTATAATGTTGATAATTGGCTCAGTTGTATAAACCCCAAATAAAACATCTCAGAAAATTACCATATTTTGAAAATGGACTGTAAGCCATAAGAAAACAAACAAAGGATTAATATTATGTCACTTAAATTAACTATATTCTAATTTTCAGAGTTCAAAGTAAATTAAGCAGTCTGTGATGGTAAATTCTTGAGAATTGTACAAATAAAAAGTTTTGGTAAATACAAATTCTTTCTGTAATAGAAAAGTAATCTTGAACTTTTGCACATATTTTGTCATACATTATATTATATAATATAATACTTATACTTGTTATAATATTTACAACCACAAATACAGACATTTTGTGTAAACAGACGAAAAGTCTGTGAAAGCCACATTATACATGGTTGTGTTATTTAAAAAGAAACAAAAAACAAAACATTAAAGCTTGCATAAATATTCAACAGGATTATTACTTTGGGGAACCTCCTTTTGCTGTGGGCACACAAGTGTTTTGGGGTCTACAAACTTCCATCCATCCATCCATCCATTTTCTACCCTTTAATCCATTTCTGGGTCAGGGGGGTGGCAGTCAGAGATGCCACCCAAGTCTCATAGCACCAGCCCCTCACTGACCCTCTGCAGGTGGTGAGTCCACAGGAGAACGGCTGCTCTCTGAGTGTGAGCATAGCCTTGATCTTTCAGTGGGGGCTTTGGGCAAAGTGGGGTTAAGTGTCTTGCCCAAGGACACAACGACAGCAGTCATCAGTGGGAGTCAATGGAGAAGGTGTAGAGGTGGGAATTGAACCCACAACCTTCTGGCCTTAAGGCCAATGCTCTACCAACTGAGCTACTGTCGCCCCAATCAATCAATTATCTATATCTATCAATTTAAATTCTTAATAACATCAATATGTGAAATAGCTTTGGTTTTGTTGGATGTCTACGTTGAGATTGTGTCCTGAGTAAATATTCCAATACCATGACTTTTTGCAAATTTTTTCACACAGCTCCTCCTCCTGCTGTTGTGTGATGTCATTCCAAAACTGTGCTTTGCAATAGCAAAACCATAAGATCAGATGATTTCTTAATCAGAGCCAATGAGCCATGTGCCTGGGGTGAATGTTAGCTTACCCTGAAAGGACTTTTGGGGACGTTGACTTCACTCCAGGTAATGATTATTGTGTGTTTGATTGGCTTTGTAGGAATGTAGACACAAACATAGGTGCCATCACCATTATCAGTAATCTGGATGTCAATTGGAAAACCTTCTGCATCCTAAAAATAAACATAAAGAAAGATACTTAAAGAGGACGGAGTTTGTTGGTCCACAAACCACACATCTTCACTTCTTACCTGAGCATACAGCTTCAACTCTCCTCCACCGGCTCCATGAGTGTCTATAGTAAAATCTGCAGGTTTATTGACAATGCAGCCTATTGGTTCCAGACCAGGGCCGTAACAATTTATCTAAAAGACCATAAAAAAAACAATTAAATTATGAACATTTCCTTAATAATTAGAAAACTAAAAACCTTTTAAATTCACCTTTTCCGGATATATATCTTTGATAGCTGGAAGAATATGTGCCATGAATGGACTATCTTTAATGTCCTCATCGTCACATATGACATGGACAGCGTAGTCCCCAGCCTCAGTGGGCCAGTAACGCACGTCACACGAGCCGTCGCCTTTATCATCACACTCTATCTTGGCTTGAGATGGCCCCTCAATGGAGAAACCTGTTGATCGCAGGAACATTAGCCATTTGGACAAATCAAACAATTCTAAAAAAGAAAATATAGTACCGGTAGCATACCAAGTGTCCCAACCTCCATGCCAATGGCTTCTACCACAAAGTCGGCACTTTTTCCCACCACGCCTGTTTCCAAACCAGGACCCCATGCACGTACTTTCTGGGAGCCAGCCTCCTCACTAATGTGCACCTCAAATGGACTGTGAATAATATAAATGTATAAAATATACAAACGGGTAATGTCCAAACATAAGTAGAGGAAGTGTCTCACCTGCGTGGTATGCCGAGTCCTCCCCAGGTTATTGTAAGTACGTATTTTCCAGTGTGGACGGGATAATAATTACACTCATACAGCCCATTTTCCAACTCCAACACTTTGACCGGTTCATCCAGCCCCTCTACAATCAAACATGTATAGTTCAAAGCGTCTTTTTGAATAATCGTTACTTCGTTTGTATTTTCAAGTCTTACTTGGTCCTTTCACAGAAACTTTGAGCTCGCCACTGCCAGCTCCTTTTGTGTAAACTTTGAAATCCGCTACTTCCTTGATCCTCACACCCTTCGGCTGTAGACCTCTGCCAGACGCCCGACAAGCATTCGGATTACAAGCTGTGAGAAAAACATGTTACATTTGAGTTAGTACAGAAAGCAAACATATTTCTCACTGCGCATTCAACACTACAAAGATGGCTGCTGACTGCCTCAGCCGTTAGTCAGCTGACCAGAATTGACAGAAGCAGTTTGCTGAAAAGAAAAAAAGCAGCAAGAATAAAATAGTAGTTCAAAATATTGTTACGGGCTCCAAGAGTAAAATGCAACTGTGTTACTTATATACAGTAGATCTAACTGAAACAATTCAGTCAACAATTGAATTATTACAAAACAAAAATAAAATCTATGTAATGTAACAAAGACAGAAAACACATGATTCTTGTACTTTGACATCTTGACACAGCCCATACATCCAACATTCACACAAACTGGGGTCAGAGGGTTGTTCAGTGAAGCAGGCGCCAGCACATGCTGTAAAGCTGAGGACCCCACAGAGGAGTCAAGGCCAGACTGAGTGGGAAAAGAAAGTGGGCTAGCGCAGCAGGCTCCAGTGACATGCTCCGCCCCTTTACTAACTTGGTCGCCTGGGTTTGGGAGGGGTCGGAGGGGGAGCTCTTCTGGTCTTGTCTGCAGAGGGAGTGTGCACAGACTCAGCCAGCACAGGGGACCCAGCTGAAGGGCTTCTCTGTGAAACTAGAGGAGGTAAGAGTCGTGATGATTAAGAAAAGACTGAGGCCAACTTGCTCTTCCCATTACAGAACACGGCAGCATTTCATTCTGTCGAGAGTTCTAATATAGAACGTATAGAACATGTATTATCTATGGTTTTAACATTGATATAATCACAAATTGTGTTTCAAAGTTGGCAGGATGCCATCTTTGGAATGCAATATTTGCAATTACATTTACCAACTCAACCATTTTGATACTCTGTAAAGCTTTCAAATGGTTTACTAAGGATTAAAAAACAATACATGTATATTTGAAGATGACCTGTGAAAGAGTCAGCTGCAAATATAATATAATATAATATTCATGCAAATAAATGCACTTGTCTCAAGAAAGGACCAAGCATGCACGATTTTAAATGCATTAAACTGCTATTTCAGATACAGCTTAGATATGCTTTACCATCTCCATTGATAAGGGTTGTGCATGAGTTATATGTCAGTTTGCATTATGATGATTAATTTAGGCACTTTTATATTCATTTATTTTATATAGCCCAAAGTCTCAACAGCAGTTGTCTCAAAGAGCATCAAAGAATTGTCAATTAGCCAACAGCAGATTAGAAATTTCCACAATGGGAACACAAAGAAAACAAATGTCCATGAATGTCCATAAATGTCTTGGATCATCCCTCTGTCCTCAGAAGACTCGAGACCCCATGGGAGAAAAATCAAACAAAAACATTCGATTGGGAATCCACACTGCACTTGGCCTTGACATGCTTCTAAAAAGGCTGTTTAAGTTTGAGGAACATTCAATACAATATATATGGCTATTAAATTGTTCCACTTGAGTCAAATTAAGGGTCCCATGGGTGTTTAAATCATTACAAATGTAATAACTTTGATGTATGCAAATATAGTCCATTAAAGGAAAGTTTCTCAAACGTGTTTTGCTGTGCCGCCCTTTTAAGATGACAAGCATAATGCCATCAGGAGAATTACTGTTTTCATTTTACGCTGATTGGACTCATAAACCCGGAGAACGTGAGAGACCCAGGTTGGACAAGTCACACGGGTGAGCAGTCCAAAGATTGTTGGTATTCAGAGAAAGGCTGCATCTATGATTGGCTCACTATATGATAACGCTGTTTCATATTTGAACTGCATGCATGAAGTGAAGATGACTTAAGTCTTCGTCATACAGAGGACATTCTGCCCAGAGACCGTATATTAGGAAGAAGTCAATTTGAACATAAGTTAGCTGGAGCCAATTGCCTCATATGGGCATTTGAAGAACAGTTTCTTCCCCTCTGCTGTTGGACTCCTGAACAATTCTTAACCTGTCCCCCCGCCCTTTATAAAGTCACTTTACTGCCCATTGTTCGTCACTTTACTTCACAGTACTGCTGTCACCTTACATTGTGTGCACCATGTGCACTTGTATATTGTAAATAGTAACTGTAACTCTATTTTAAATTTAAATGTATTCCTTAGAAGTGTTTTTTATTCTTTCTTTTTTATCATCTCTTTCTGACTGTTGCACTGAGCCAAAGCAATTTCCAAGTCTGTGACTTCCTGTTAATTACGTGGCAATAAAAATTATTCTGATTCTGATTCTGATTTGTTCTGACCGGGTTGGCTTCATCTTGACAGGGGCAGACATGTTGCTAAGATAGTTGATCAGGCAAGCTGGAGTTTCCGTTGCAAAGTCATCGATTGGTCAATACTAATAAAACTCATATCTGGACTTACAAAGATAATATCACAAATCATCAGGATCATAGAGAATGCTAAACCACAGATTTTTAAGCCCAAAATGATGAGCGTGATACAAACGGTTACTGAGCCAGAGGAGTTTACTTTTCAATGTAAGTGAATAGGAGCCAGAGCGAGTTGGAACAAAACCAACAGCACTTCCCTATTAGGCTTCATTGAGTTAGCGAGTTAGCATTGTCCATCTATATACAGTCTATGATTCTGCCTCAGTGACTTTGATTGACTGGTACATGCATAGCTATAATAATAACGGCTTATCAAACGAGCGCAAGGTCTTTTTGCAAAGACCTCGCCACGGCTCGGTCTGTTCAAAAAGGCAGAGGTCTGATATTTCTCTGTACAAACCGAGCAAGCAAGGTTAATAAATGTTTTATTATATGACTATTTTTAATTTGTGCAAATATTGATCGGTTTTGACTAGCAAAAACACATGCAACCAAACTGTCAAATTGTGACATGGAGAACTTGCTTATCAGATGATTGAGGTCGCCCGCTGGTCTCTTCTGTGTCTTTACCAATGCTTTTTAGATATTTGTGAAGTAGGTTCATGCCCGACTTGGTTTTCCTAATCGTGTTTTTAGCTTCCTGGTCTGTAACGAAGTTGTCACTCTCTTCTTGACTGTTAGGAGTTGTGTTTTTGTTGTTATTTGATGTTATTACTTCCTCTGGCTCTTCGAACTCGTCGGGATAATAGAATTCACTGGAGAATGCTTCCAGTCGTTGCTCATTATTGCTTTTTTACCAAGGAAAGATATCAAATCTGATACGCGCTGCAGACCAATTGTCATGGTAACGGTCCAAGATGGGAAAATATCAGACCGCAAATCAGCCAATCAGAGCGCGCGTACGATCCAAGTCATATAATAATATTGCATAGCACTTTTAAAGCGCTTTTTTTGTGGGCTACAGCTGAACCTAACAGAGAGATATTAAAATGAATGATAACGATAAGCTTTAACTGTTGATAGTTCCTGACACTTTTTCCTCATTGATGTCTTAACACATGTATCTTCAAAGTGGTCATTTGTTATGTTCAAATTCATTTAAAAGGCAAATTATCACAAACTTTGGAGGAGCTTACCTTCAGAGATGTTAACAGTGAATGGACTTTTTGGAATCTGTTGTCCAGCAAAAGTCACATAAACTGTGTGAGCTCCCTCCAAGACAGGAACATAGGTGCAACGGAAAATACTGTCCCCCTTGTTCTCCAGAACTATCTCCACTGTGTCCCTCCGTCCGTTAGAGTCCACGATAATGACGCCAACATCTCCAGCTCCAGCCCCTGATGCAGTGCACAAAACACAATGAGCTGTGGCTCTCACTTAACTTTCAGAATGCACCTGTTACCTGCTGTGTAAATGTCAAAATATGTGGGCTTGTTGGCTACATTTCCCATTGGCTGAAGTCCCGGCCCTCGAGCCTGCACTCTGGTCGCATCACCCATAGCTTTTGACACGGTAACCATAAAAGGACTTCTATCAATGTCTTGTCCAGCAAACAACACTTTTACCTGTGAAGATGCAAAAAATATAAATAAAAAATAATTTGTGTGCAATATCATTACTTTACGATATAAGTTTACCTTGTGCAAGCCTTCTACTTTGGGAAGATATACCACAGAATACGACCTGTTCTTGTCATTGTTTGGAATGACTCTGGCCTGTAGGGAAGAAGATAGGAAAATAACTCTATGAATATATAATGTATTCTATTGTACTAAAGTACAATAGAACTATCACAATAATGTTATATTCATGTATCCAATTTGACCTCTTCAGTGTGTCGTTCTGGGTCTTCGACATAAACCAGAACCTCTCCTAGTCCAGCCTCCACAGTCTCAACCAGGAACTCAGCAGGTTTCAAAACCATATTCCCTAATGGCTCAATACCTAGGACAGAAACACAATACTAGTAAATAATCCAAGGTTTTCACTTTTGATTATTGTTGTGCTCACCTGGCCCGTATGCTTTGGCCCTTTTTGGGTGCAAGGTCTTTGCCTTTAGAGGAGCGCCGGGCTTCAATTTTGATTTGGGAAACTGCGACAGGTAGGTCATGACCGAATGTTCATCCACATTCGGATCAACAATTTCTTCAGGGGCAATGACCTGAAAAATGAATGTGTTGTCTCACTGAGAAAAGATCAGCATTGGAGAGGTGAATGTAACTTTACCTGTGGCACTCCAAGCCAGTCATCAGCCTGCTGCATGGCTTCTCTGGCATTCTCCACAGGTTGGCTGGGATCCCAGGTCTCCCAGTCTGGACATAGTCCTGGTTGGATGACAGAAAGGTTATAAACTAAATATATTTCATCTCCCTTTTCCCCCTTGCATAAACATGATGTCCTTGCTATATACCTGGGGCACAGTTGTCTACCAGGGCTCCGAGAGCCTTGCCATCTCTCCAGTCTCTGTGGAAGTTTGTAATTGGGAGTTGAGGCACTTTGTTCTGGATCCAGCCCAGCAGGCGCTGTTTTGGGGTGAGCTTCTTGGCATCTTCATCATCTTCATCATCCCACATAGGCATTGAAATAGAGTAATGGAGGATCAGCGTCCAGATAAGACCAAGGATTAGCTTCAAGTTTCCATCCACAATGGCTTTAGAATCTGCAGATTAGAAATGTGCAAAGCATTTAGAATCTTTCAATGTACAGAACTCAACAGCTTTGAATCTACTGTATGTTCAGTTTAGTTCATTTGTTTATTTGGATGGAACAATTAAATGCAGCCTTTGGATCATTTCCACCCTTTCCACAGTCGCACTCACAAACACTCATTCACCCTGAACTATTGCATGCTTCAGTGGTAAGGGGAACCAAGCACATAGAGAGAACATGCAAACTCCACACAGAGAGGCCCGCCTGTCAGTGCAAACAAATCCAGAAACTTCTTGCTGTTTCATTTTAGGATTGCTACACTGAACAAACCAGTAGCCATTTGCTCTGCCTTTAAAGTATGATGTAATTTCCTGTTATTGCTCCCCCAAAAGACACACTTTCTTCTTCTATGTGGGAGCATAGTTTTAGTTGTATGTCAGTATTCTCGCTGATCTGAGCGACCCGTCTTTTGACAGCACACAATGATGTCATACAATACAGGTCTGAGGAATGAGGTCAGTTTAAATAGGAAACACATGACACAGAGCTGTATATCTCTGCACAGGACCAGCACTCGCACTTTTCCATTGTATCCTTCAACAGATGACTCTTTCTGCCCAATCTGCAGTTCACGCGCAGCGACTCATGGTTATGACTTTTTTACTTTACTTTTCAGATCATAATATTTTCACCACATCGGTCCACTTCAATTTCCAGCTTATTTCAAACTAGTGCACCTGAAAAAGTTAAAAGAGGTTTCTCAGTCATTTCAGAAACTTAAATGTTTTTGGGGGTTTTGAAAAACAAAATAGAACATTCTAAAAACTAAGATTAAAGAACAAACAGCTTCTAGAAAAGTATGTATTTTGTTTTCAGTTATTGGGCATATTTTTCAGATTAATATTATTAGATAATGTATAACTAAAATATGTTGCAAAAAAGATCACTTAATGTAATTACTAAAAGCAATCAAGTGTTTTGGAAAAGCAGAGAAATAATGAACTATTCTCTATGTAATGTTTTTATTTCTCCAAACCCTCACAGCTTCTTTCCTCTGCTGTGCTGTCCCATTACACTGTTTCTCCATCACCTCAGAGAGAGAGAGACTCGGAGAGAGAGAGAGAGAGAGAGAGAGAGAGACAGACAGAGAGACAGAGAGAGAGAGGCTCAGAGAGAGAGACACACAGAGAGACAGAGAGCTTCAGAGAGAGAGAGAGACTCAGAGAGAGAGAATCAGAGAGAGGCTCAGAGAGAGAGAGAGAGAATCAGAGAGAGAGACTCAGAGAGAGAGAATCAGAGAGAGGCTCAGAGAGAGAGAGAGAGAATCAGAGAGAGAGAGAGGCTCAGAGAGAGAGAGAAAGACTCAGAGAGAGAGGGAGACAGAGAGACTCAGAGAGAGAGAGGGGCTCAGAGAGAGAGAATCAGAGAGAGAGAGATGCTCAGAGAGAGAGAGACAAAGAGACTCAGAGAGAGAGAGAGAGAGACTCAGAGACAGAGAGAGAGAGAGACTCAGAGAGAGAGAGAATCAGAGAGAGAGAGAGTGAGAGAGAGACTCAGAGAGAGAGAGAGAGAATCACAGAGAGAGAGAGAGGCTCAGAGAGAGAGACTCAGAGAGATAAAGAGTGAGAGAGAGAGGAGAGAGAGAGAGAGATTCTTATGAATGCTGCCTGTTTTTCTCCCAACAGTGGGGTCTTTCTTTGTGCAAGCATTGTTTCTGAACAATGTTTGTTTGGTAACTATTGGAGACCGGTTTGTTGGAACCAAGAGTTAGGTTCAAAGTTAGAAAGCCTGGAAAAGAACATGAGAACTTTTCTTAGCCTTGTTTTGAGTCATTATTAAGTCCAATGAGAAGTGACTTTCCACTTCTCCAAGTAGTGACTTTCCAACGTTTAATCAATGGAAAGGTTCAATATCACTTTTGCTGAAAACATACTATATAATCAATTGTTTTTTAATATAATCAACAACATTAACAGTTTGAAAGGGTTGCATTGTGATGTCAGTTCTGCTTACAGTGTTCTCCCGTGGGAAAACACCAAACATGTCTTTACAGTTGTCAGAAAACAGCTGAGCCATGTGAAACAATCACTTAGCAACAGCCCCGTTTTCCTGTGGAATGATTACAGCATTTTCCCACCAACATTTCCTCTGACCAATGTAAGAGGATAGAGTTGGATCTTTTCATTGAGTCTAACACAAACTGAGAACAATCTGTCTCAACATGGTTCGAATGTCGCGAGGATGACCAGTCTCGGCAAGTGGGCAACAGCTGTACAAATGAAAATGTTTTGTTTACGCTAATGAATCCAAGAGAGTTAGACTAAAGAAGAAAAGGCTATTTAAAGACACACCTGGGCCTAATAAAAACAGCAGCTGGAAGCTTGAGGGCTGCAGGCCGACGATTAGTCTTATCTCACCACTATTAAAGTTAGATACTGTACTATACATGTAAGACAAGTTTATGGGAGTTTTTAAAATTATGAATTAATGGATTGAATGATTGATTAATTGACATGCTTATCATTTTATAATCTCCCTGAGGTTTCTCACTTTTCCCCACTGGGTTTAGAGTTTTTCCTTGCTAATGCAGGAGGGTCTGTGAGGTTACAAAAAGGACAGTGATGATGGACACTCTAAAGTTAACAACATTTATGGACATTTATCAACACTGCCCCTTATGGACCAATACCAATGTATTTTTTGTTCTATTTCTTGTTCGGCCTGTTTGATTCTCTGATCTGTGTTGGCAAATTCAACGGTTGAATAAAGTCCTCCAAGAAAACTACTGTTGTGATTTAGGGCTATACAAGAGTTAATAACAATATAAATACAATTTAATCTGTATAATCATCCAAAAAAATCCAGTCTTGTCCCTGCAAATTTAACAAAGAAATGGCCTACAGATCAAATCTAAGCGATTGGAAATGGTCTGAATGAGGGTGGAACAGATTGCAACAGTAATTGCACTGTGGTGTGTCAGCTGTCGTCACAGTTGTTGCGAGGAATTTGAAAGCAGCAGCAGGAGTCTTCCCCTCATCACACACACATCCTCTGCTCTGAGCTGTCATGGTCCACTGTGGCCCGGGAACCAGGGCAAATACGCCTGTTGTTGAGGGTAAACGTGGAGCCAGAACATGATGAGCACAATGTGACAGTCAGCAGATCACCAGGGGGGGCTCCTGTTTCAGTACACAGACCATGCAATTAAAGCTGGGCCGATGGAATGAAATCAAGGAATCTATTTTTTGGCCTCTGTCACATCTTTAGATCAGCTATTTTGAACAGAAAAGGGATAAATAGAAAGGACCACCCTCACTCATCCATTCATTTCTCTCCCAAAAGCGTCATATTGAGACACACAAGGTTTTAACATACAAAAGGTCATGTGTTTTATGATAAGATTACGAAAGCATGTGGTGATCTAATTTGTTCACAACACTTACAAGACTCTTTCTGTAGAGACAAACAAATTATATTATTAGTTGCCCTAGCCTTAACATCCAAGGGTCCAATGCAGTTGACAAAGAACCGCTGGGTGGACCAATGTGAGAATAAATGCATATAATTAAAGTGATTGTGTGACCGTAACACATTTAAATGTTAATCTGAGAACACATTATACTTATACATTACTCATACACATGCAAGTTCAGTATATAAACTGGTAACGGATGGTCAGAATTCTTTGTTAAGTTTTCATGAAGTTCCAGAGCCTATAAAGGCTTGATTCGGAGGCTCTGCGAAAACAACTGAGCATGCGCGCAGCTCCGAGCATGAGAGCCGATGATTGACAGCCCTTGGCATCACGTGATTGGTTAAAGTGGACGGCATCGAGGATTTTATATAAGGCCAGGAGGTCAATTTAATACAATTCTTAAAATGTGTAATTAATTTAGAGTTCCAGACTTTCACTTTAAGGCTATAGAGGTACAAATATATTTTCCTGGTCCAAAAGTCCAATACCGTCGTCAGAAATCTCGGAGAAGATCAAGATGGCAGCGTTTAACAGTTGCTCTTTTCTATACCAACAGCCGTTTGACAGTACAGGTAAAACTCAGAAAATAGGAATATTTTGCGCACAGCTTGTAAAACTCAGAAATGTCAAGAAATTAGAGCATTTTGTAAGTGAACTTAAAGCCAAAATCAACAGGCCTGACATATGTCACTTTTCAGATTTGACCACAGGGAAGAGCTAGGACACGCTGGAGGGACTTTGTCTCTCAGCTGACCTGGGAACGCCTCAGGATTCCTCCGGATGAGCTGGAGGAAGTGTGTGTGGAAAGGGAAGTCAGGTCATCCCTGCTCAGACTGCAACCCAACAGGCAATGGATAAAACGGAAAAAGAGGGATGGATGGATAGTTTCAGATTTTAAGTTGAATAACAGAAATAAATGAACTTTTGAACGACATTTTGATTTTCCAAGTTCCCTCTGTATGACACCTCTATCAGGAGCTCTTGTTATTGTCACACTAAATGAACTGTTGCATGATCTATTTAAGCACTTAGGTTATTTATACCGTAGAGTCTCATGTTATTGTGGATGTGTGAATACGTTTTCTGCATTTACACATACAGTATTTGTAATAATTTATTGGAGCTGCATCGACAAAATCATTACCTATGCGCGTGAATAAAATATTATCACTGTTATTCTGCCCGTGTGTTTTATATTTCGCTCTAGGATGGCTCAAAATTGCCTTTCGGGGAGTCTAGTTTGGCTAGTTTGTGAAGCGGGGTTGAGCATATATTCTGACTGTAAAAACTGGGTGGGAACAAAATGTAGTCCAAACTTGACTTTCCCCTTAAAATATAATATCACAAAGAGAAGCAATATCTTACCATAAAATGTAAATATACTAGATTATAGCCAAGGGAGTTATGTTTTCATTATTGTTTGTTTGTTTGTTTGTTTGTTTGTTAGTTACCAGTACTTTCGGGGCTCACCTGTATATAAACCGCACCAGCTAGATTTAAAAAAAATAAGTACATTTTGTCCACATATAGGCAACACATAAATATAAACCGTAGGATTTCACGTTGAAATGTAAAACTTAACCAACAGCTGAAATGTAAAACAATCAGATCATATAGACGACTGTTGTAGATGGTCACGACACAATTTAATGACCAGGTGTTTTAATAACGCACTGTTGACTTGTTATGAACAAAGCTAAAGGGTAAATAACACAGTAAACTCTGAGGAGGAACAAGGGAAGTTCTTTGTATAGCGCAGTTCATACACAAGGCAACTCAAAATGCTCAACAAAACAAGATAGAAACAATCACACAAAGCATTAAAGTCACAAATAATCACAGTACATTCAATTATGCACAGTAAAACAGAACAGTTTTTAACCTGGAACTAGACATTTTCAGAGTTAAAACCTGCCTCACATTTTCATTTCCGATTTTAGCGGCATGAATCTGAAGCGCTGCCACCCCATGTTTAGTCCTGACTATGGGCACCAGTAAAATAATAGTATATAATGAATATAAGGATCGTTTTTCTAGTTCCCTGATACTTTTTTGAATAGACTTCATCGTTAGTGCTTATCGTTACACATAAGGATTCGTAATATATTCCTTACGGCTTGTCACTGTGTCTTGAAATGAATCAAAATAAATGTAAATATTAAAAAAAAACTACTATAGCAATCTAATCTTGAGCAAATATATGATCGTTACCAATACTATACCTGTTAGGTCATTTTGAAAACATACTCAATCTTAAACTGGACAATGACAAGCTCAACATGGCTTTAAGAGAATGTGGGGATGAGCGCCGGGGGAGTGTGCGTATGAACATTCTTTCGGAGCTGACTGCATCAACACATGGAAATCGTTACAGATACAAGAGAAGGGCCAACCTGCCACACATGAAGAGGAAGCAGCCAGATTTGTAGTTGAGGCCAGTGTAGAAGCACAGGTTCTACACAGGTTTTATGCTTCCAGTATAGTCTCTACTCACACCTTCTACATGTGCGCCATAGAATGTATATTTGGAGTGGATTTTAGGACAAAGGAGGGCGACAGTAGCTCAGTTGGTAGAGCATTGGCCTTTGAGCCAGAGGGTCGTGGGTTCGAGCCCGACTTTCACCATCGACTCCCACTATCTGCTGTCATTGTGTCCTTGGCAAGACACTTAACCTCTGGGAACACCTGATGCCACAGTGGGGTGGCTGTAGAGTGCCAAACTACCGTTGTGTCCTTGGCCAAGACACTTTACCCCCATTGCCTAGAATGAGTCTGGTGTGTGTGAATGGTTGGTGGTGGTCGGAGGGGCCGATGGCACATACTGGTTGCCTCGCTTCTGTCAGTGTGCCACAGGGCAGCTGTGGCTACAGTAGTAGTTTATCACCACTGTGTATAAAGTGAAAGATTAATGACATGTAAAGCGTCTTTGAGTGTCCAAAAAAGCGATATATAAAACTGATGCATTATTATTTATGGACATTTATGGACATTCCGCTCCCTATGACCCAATAGCTCCAATGTGTTTGATATTATTGTATTTTCTGTGTTTGAACTGTGATTCTGTTTCTGATTCTGTTAGGTCACTCCTTATATGGCCATAACTGGATATACAAAGACATTATCAAAATATAAACACCAGGGTCATAGCGAGTGTATTTGGAGTGTGATACCAATGATTACTGAGGGGTTTACTTTTCACTTGAAGCCAGAGCGAGTTGGAGAAGAACTTAAACATAAGCACTTCCCTATAGGGCTTCTTTGAGCTAGCAGGTTAGCGTTGTCCATCTACAGTTTATATACAGTCTATGCTGTGCTCCCATGAGAGTGGATCTTCTTCACTGTCGGTTATTTTTCCCTGTGTTATTGCTAGAGTTGTTTTGGACAGGGGACACTCTGGGACTGGCATGTCTTTGCTTAGGTATTTCTCCGTCTTATAGTCCATTGTGAGTGTCACTTTAAGAAAGAGAGAGACACTTGACTATCAACTAAGTCCCAGAATTAGATCAAATAAAACATATAAAAAGACAATGACACGCTATGACTTCAAATACACATCACGGTGAGAAATACATCTGCCCCCATTTAACCCAGTGGAAAGCACCAATGAGCGCTCTTCAGGGAGAGTTTTACTATGGTTCAGTGAGAGCTTGTGCCAGAGTGAAATCCGGCTCAGCTGATGTCTTTGTGGACTTTACTCAGTGGGTCTATTTTGAGCAGCTGTCGGCAGAGGCACCGCAGAGCTCAGCTGTCCCACCATCAATCAGCAAATAGTACCCTGCCTCAACCTCCACACTGATCACAGACCAGCCACAACATGGCTGACTCATACTGAAGACTACGATACTATTGGACATTACATTCAGCTTTTTGATATAGGACTGAAAGACTTTCTGTCCCTTTGAAAATAAAGATTTAAGTTCATGTTAAGAACAAATGGCCACAACGGTTTATAAGGACACTGTATGAAAAGAACAGATCAACAAGCTGTATTCCTCAAGCTGCAGCCTTCAAAATGCTTTGTTATTGCCAGTAAATTTGAAAGAATTGGCTCAAGAAGAGGTGAAACTTTATACGTATGGCACCGAAATAAATTTGAAAAAGGCAAATTTTCTAATGGCACTTATCTGTTTTTGCAAATGAAAAATTAATAAGTTAAATGATTGTGTGAGGGCTACTAAACTATCACTAAATACATACTTAATATGTATTGTTGTTTATTAGTTTGGATCTCCAGATATGAGCCTCATCCCACAGTCACGCTCACAAACACACACTACTGCACTCATTCATTCACCCTGAACTATTGTTTTGTGTAACAATGGATATTAAACTAAGGAACATGTAGCCAATGTTAAAAGTATAGGGTTCTTCAATACCAGATGATATAAGGTTTTTTGTGGTGTTATTACCTTGACACGGAAGTTATCCGTTGAAACATGTCAAGGTAATAACACCACAAAAAACCTTATATTGTCTGGTATTGAAGAACCCAATACTTTTAATTCTTCAAAGAAGACAAGATGAATCATCCTAAACTATGTAGCCAATATTTTCTGTATATAAATACTGTGATGGTTCCAGCAATAATTCTAATTAAATATCAAGGTTGAAAAGATTTTTGACAATTGCCAATTTTATGAAATAGTATCATTGGTGTTTGAGCTACAGCCATGTTTCCGTTGTCAATCTACAAGTCTGATTGTGGGATAAAAGCAGCGCTGAGGCAGAAGCAGAGGCCCTCACTTGTCTCTCATTCGACCACAACACATGGCAGGAGCCCCAGGGACGACCCACTCTCGGACCACGAGATGAGGAGCCGACATGGGCAACAACCACCCACTTCATTCACTGTTGTGATATCATTACCTTTAGAGAACTGAACACTTTAGCAAACATACAGCTGCTATACTAAGGATACCTCATGACTCACAGAACTTAGTCATTCAGAACACATGGGGAAAAGTTTGTATTTTGTTTTTGAAGCTGTCTATACCCTGGCCATGCTGATTTTATGTTGCTGGTTTTTTTAAGGCAATTATTAATCAAACAATAATTGCCAAGTTATGTTTGAGGATTACAGTAGTATTCAAAGTAATGTAACAAAAGAGGAGTTTATTTGAATGTTAAGGAACACACCTCTCCGGATTGTATCTTTGGACTATGTTCCACCCTTTGTCCCACACACTCACAAGCAAACACTCATTCACCCTGAACTATTGGACATGTTTTAGTGGCAGGGGAAACTGGAGCACCAGGAGGAAACCTAAACAGACACGTGGAGAACGTGCAAACTCCACACAGAAAGGTTTTGTCTGGAGGAGGAATTAAACCAAGGAAGTACCAGCACTAACCACTGTGCCATAGACATACACAAGCATAAAAGCATAGGCCAGAGTTGTGATCATAGTGGGAGAGGGGACGTGGTGGTTTTGGGATCAAGTTGTACTCACCTATGGACACCAGCTTTATATGTTCCCTTTCTAAAAACTCCAGGGCCACAGACACGTTCTCCAGCTTCATCTGCCTGAAGTTAGGTCTGGAGTGGTACTTTCGATACATCTTTTTCTGACTCAGCACCTCCAGCAGCCCGATGAGCTTGAGGCCGTCGCTCAGGTCTTTCTGCAGGTCATTGATGCGCTTGTTCAGGCACTTGAGGTGTTCGTTGCACCACCTGGTGAAGGTGTTCTGTTGGATCTTTTTCCACGGTGCGTCCTCCGCCAGGTCCTTCTCTGTGGCCGGCATCTCCTCCTCCTCCTCCTCGATGTCTGTGCTTTGATAAAACAGCTGCTGCTGCGGGTCGAAGTAACTCCCGTTGTTCATCATGGTGCGAGAGGAGAAAGAAGAGACAAGAAGAAAGACGAAAGAAGAAGAAAGAAGACGAAAGAAGACGAAGGAAGAGATGACGAAGCTGCGCAGACGAGCAGTCACGGTCTTGTTAGCGCTCGAAAACTTTGAGAAAGTTAAAACATAAACAAATGGTGCTAAACGGATCCTACAAGCGGCAAGTCATGTAGGAGTGTGATACCGCCTCCAGAACCTGGTTCTCCTTCAGTGGACACTCCGCTTGGGCGCGGAGCCGCGGCGTGTACGCAGCGTGTACGCAGGGACTGAAGAGCCCTGACAAGCTGACGCTTAAAAACCTGCCGTCACTTCACCGGACTCCCTGGAATGGCCCCTCCATGACCATAATAACCCCACCCGGGCATCCTCTAATCCCACGGAGATACGGAGACCCGCGCCCATTGGGCAGAGGAGCAACACGTGGGACAGAAGCGCCTGTCCCCCGCCTCCTGGAACCCGAGGCCCGCAGGGCACAGCCCACAGCATCGATGCGTATTTTAGGACCTCATGACCAGGAGAGACGAAACTGTGCGTTAGTCAAAAGAAATATGATGTCACCAAGACTAGTTACGGTCGCGGGTTGATTTCACGCATATTTTCGGGGTCCTTGAAGGCCTGAACAACCTTAAGAGGGCCTTTGCGACTAATTCAAGATGTATCTGTGAAAAGAAACAGGGATCCAAAAGGCGTTCAGTTTTTATTAGGCCGATTGATACATGTACAACAATGTCTGTAACATGACATAATCCCCAACAGACAGAAATATCAACGCAAACATCAAAAAGACTCAAGTGCTAGGTCTTGTGACTGAGTCCTACCATTGTACGCATCCATATTCTTTTTTTCTTTTTCTTTGGACCAATCAAGTAAGTAATAATAACTAAGTGGATTGGGGTGCTCATGCTACACTCAGGCATGGGTCATGCAGAATCACTGAATAACAATTAACAGATAGTGTACAACACATACCTAAAAGGACTAACTGCTATTTATTCCTTTTTTTCTATTTGCACTGATTAAGATCATTTCAACATGTGGTGTCTAATGACAAATAGGATCTTGAGAAATGTAATATTTGCATTTACATAAAGCACACTATTTCACAGAGGCATAGTCATCAACTTAAAGCAACAGAACGTAACTGTCTGGTGTCAAACACAGTTGATTCATGGAAATAAACAGTTGAAAACATACTGTGGATCATTCTCTGCTGAAATGTACATTTAATGCCACACTGCGGGAGATTACAGCAAAAGGCCCTTCTCCGGGACAAGCATGAGTCAGGTTAGAGACACTGAAGTTTTTTTATTCTTTTAAAACATTCATAGTGGGAAAAACACGCTATTATATAAATTTGTTATTTGGCTATAGGTTTTGTAGCCTACTGGGGCTAACTGCTTTACAAAGGTATAACAGACTGCAACTGTTGTGCAAGGAAAGCACATTAACCTTATCTAAATTTCTTATTAACTATTATTGTAGTTAAAAGACACACATTTCAACATGACATTTACATATATCTGTCACTAATATGTGTAATAATATCTTTAAACTAAACTTATTAATCAAATTCGATAATAAATCTTTTTTCTAAAAAAATATCTCTCAAAATGTAGGCCCATAACAAAATAGTCCAATGAACACACAGCCCCAGAAACTGACACAGTGAAGCCCATCCTTGGAAACAACAACAATGATTGTATTAATCCATGCTACAGGGCCAGTGTAAACATTAAGATATAGTATTACACCAATAAAATGACAAAAATACTATGTCAAATACAGAAATAAAGCTATTTACCCAGCTGTTTTCTTGCACTTGTAATTGCTACATAAAATGTTGATGACAGTGTGCTCTTTTCCTTAGGTCTCTGAGCGCACACAAAAGTGCAAACTAGTGATTATAAATAAGGCTGAACCCCTGTAGTTTGTTTTCATTAACATAACTCACATCCTTGAACTCTATCCAACTCATTTTGTCCTGCTACAGAGGTGTAGAGTGTCGCCCTCTAGTGGTACAAATCTAAACATTTGACATAATTTTGTTCAAATGTAATCTTACAGGTTTCCCCCTTCCTCGTGTCTGTGGATATTTGAACAGGATTTATCAGCACTCAGTTGTGCGTAGAATATCAGCATTGCCTGATGTGGAGCAGACAACCCGTGGCCCCCAGGTCAAATGTGCCTTCACCAGTGATGCACAAAGGGAGCAATGCAAGAAGCAACACACAGGGTATTTGAGGGCATGAGCTGATGATACTTGCTGGTTCTGTCTTTGGTCCTCAACTTCTGGTCAAACTGGGAATGACCAGAGCTGCTATCGCTGCAACAGCAACCGCGGCCGCGGCCACAGCCAGTGTCCAGCCTTCAACCTCTGTCTGCAAAACACACATCATGTTTGTCAGCACCTGTAACACTGTCCACGTCTTCACATCTCTGGGTGGGTGGGTGGGGTTATGGATTTTATTTATACAAGTATTTGTTAATCAATAGACAGTGTTTTAACAAGAAATAAATAAAAAAAAGTAAAACACAGAGTGGAAATGAGATTTAAAATATATTGATTCAAAGTGTCATCTCTCTTGTGTGGTGACAGTAGATTAAACGAGGATTACAGTCACAAATAGAGAAATCTCATAGTTACCTTTGAAGGTGAAAATTTCATCAAGGTTTGTTAGTTTGTTAGTTGCAACCAAACTCAAAAATGCATGGGTGGATTATTAAAAACTCAGTACATTTTGGAAATGGAACGATGGTAGATTTTGAAGGTGATCCTGATCACTGCGGATCCTGGACTATTTTTTTAAGAAGAGGAACTGCGCCTCTTACTAAAGGCTGACGCTCAACAATTGATTTTCCAGTTAAATAAAAGTGGAACAGAGGGCGGTCTACTCCATCAGCATCGCTGTCTGACTGTTTGGTCTTAAAGGAAAAACAATATATACATGATACTTAAGTATTTGAAAATACTATTCAAGTAGGAGTAAAAATATCTGCAAAGTTACAACAGGAACAAAGGATTTTGAACTTATAAATCAGCCTCTGACCTTTTCCTCATTGTTCTTCTTATGAGTGAAAGTATATTGCCTATTAAACTACTCTGAAAAGGACAATCAAAATGCATGTCAGGTACATGTTCTAGATGACCCAGGACATTTGTGTCACATGATTTTGACCTGTCCTCCAACTCGGTGTCTATTTGGGTGCAGTATTTGGTAATAACACTTTCTTTTATCTTAACGTATGTTCATGTTTAACCCAGAATTCCCCAAAACTATGGACCTGTGGAATGACTAAAATAGCTTCATACCTGTCATCGTGTCAAAAAGCACTTTAAGCAGAAATTCAGTCTGGTAAAACTAAGTCCCACCCCAACCAAGACCAACTCCCTTCACTTTCAGCCCATCACACAGCGCTGCCAACTTCCATCGCCACCTATGCCAATCAAGCCGGCAGTTTAAAAGTGGGAACAACGCCTCTTCAAGCTCTCGCAACCACCACCTCCCCACTTCCTCCTCCGGCCCTTCAGACACGCTCTTATCTCGTCTCTGCCCTTATCTATGCGCCAAACCATAAACTCACACTGCATACTAGTCGCACTAAAATAAAGAACAGAAAATTAGCTCATCAACAGTAAAAGAAATATATCTAAAAATAAAACTACAGAAGCCCCCTGTCCTCCAAGATGCAATTTAAATAGGGAAATGCTATAATAACAAACACATAGGGAGCAGATGACCAATGTCCATAAATGTTCCTAAATGTCCTGGATCATCACAGTCCTTAGACCCTTCTGCATTAGCAAGAAACGACACCCAAAAAAATGAAAACGGGTAAAAAAAAATGGAAGAAAGCTTGGAGAGGCCCATATCGAGAGGGGGATCTACACCCACGAGCGGACAGGCTATAGATCCAGGACTCACATCTGCAGTCTTATGAAACATACAGGTGGAATGATCATCTTCACCAAACTGGGTAAAAATAGTTACATGTTTAGCTTATCTTATACATAAGCTAAAAAGCATTATAAAGTATATCTTAAATATACTGTATTTATGTTGAGGTGAAGTGTGGTCTAACCTGTGTATGGACCTCATAGAGAAGTAAGGACAAGGCCATACCTGGTCCCCTCTATGACGCCAGCTCCTCCCACCAGCACCAAATCAAGGCCACTATAACAATCATTCCTATGAAGGGTATGGAAAGAACAGGGGGCTCACATGGACGTGTGCAGGTCTGAAGAGAAGACAAAAGTAGGAGTGTAGGAGGAAATGCAGAGGAGTAAAGGGAAATCATCCTGACCGATGATTGACCGCAAGCATGCCAACAGTTTAGAAATGTAATTGTTTTATCAAATGACAAATCATTGCCACTAAATGCCTTGATGATAAAAAGCAAGGGACAATTGGAGGACATTCCAAAAAAAAAGAGAAAAGTGGCAAATAATAAAGGTTGAGTTAGAGGAGAGGTGTAAAACGTGTCTTTAACCCGCAGGTTTCATTTTATTCTTGCAATTAATACAACCAATCAATGTTAAAATACAAAACAAACCCATGCCCAGTGAAGGCAGATCGCACCAAGCGGCATTTTAAAAGGAAAACAGTTGAGCAATTTGGAAATGTAGTAACATCAGTATATTTAGAATGAGTGAAAATCAGAGATGTGTTCCAATAATTATATTGTAGAAAAGATGTCAAAGGCGTGGGTGATGAGGCATAAACTAGTGTTTATACAACAATAGATCTATGCTTTACATGGATTTGTCGTGTGTGTTGTGTGGTCATTAAACCTTAAAGAAACAGTGTGTGTCACCAGACACAAGGTAATATGATTTTCCTAATTTGATGCTCACTAACTCTGTATTTAAAAATATACCTGATGGTCACATTGTTTATTCCACCATCCAATCAGAATGCAAAATGAGTATCTCATTTGGGTGTGTGTGTGTGTCTTTCATGGGTATGCATTTTTCAAAGAAAAATCTTAAATATACCGCAATTAAGTTATATTTATTCTACTATCCAATCATAATGCAGAATTAGTCTGTGTGCATGCTTGCGTGCGTGCGTGCGTGCGTGTGTGTGTATGCATGTACGTATGTGCGCATGTGTGGTTGCCATGTGTACCCCTTAGCCAGTGTAGACAGGGCTCTAGTACCCCTGTTGTTAAGGGGGGAATCTTTCTCGTTAGATCTTCGGGGTCATGTTAGTTGTTGTCAAATCACCCACCTCTTATAAGATCATTTACTCTTAGCATGCAAGCTGTCACATCACAGGAAAAATATCTCAATGTGTCTTCAATAAGGGGATGTCAGTGTCTAAAGTGCCTTTCCTTCCATTTGTGTTTGTGTCATGTGCCAATTCATTCCAGACAAGTTCACTGAAATGGACTTACCTTGGATTTAGTTCCTGCTAGTTTCTGAAGTTGTGTCTTGCATTTCTGTAACTCCTGCTCTATAGAGGCTCGTTCACGCTGGCTGATGTCATAGAGCTGCTGCAGCTCAGCGAGCTCCCCCTTTAAGGAGTTACACTGTGAAGAGTACAACACATGGATGACAAATCTGACAGTCTTTGTGATGTCTATGTTAGGTGTTCTGGTTTTACTTCTTTCTGCACTTTCAAAGCCATCTCCTCTGCTCGTTTCAGCTGCTCCTTCAGGTCGCTGACAGTTTGAATGTTGTCCTTTGGCACTTCATTGTGTTCAGGACCAGACTGATGCAGAGTAATATATGCGTCAGGCTTCAGTGGATTTTCCCTCTTGTTGTTAGAGGAGCCCTCCTCTCGAACGGCCAAGTAGACATCTTCATCATGGCTGTCAAACAAATACTTTCTTTCAATATAAAGGTCTAGAAACTGATTAGATGAAGATGAACTTACCGCTCTCTTTGCTCCTGCTGTAAGTGCTCCACTTGATGACAAAGCATTTTGTTGTCATTAGTTAATGACTTGTGTTGATCTTTCAGAAAATGTACCTCATCCTTCAGTGATGTAATGTCTCCTGTTCAAAAGTATGATTTATTTATTCATAGCTGGTACAGCTGGGGAACCAAACTTACAAACTACTCCAAATGGAACTATGTAATAAAATCCTATCATAGTTGCTAACAAAACAGATCACTTTATTCAAGTATATGAATGTATACAACTCTCAGCTCAGCCTAAGCTCAGCCTAAAGTGTCAAATAGTGACTCACAGGGAGTTACTTTTACAAGCATAATTTATGGAGAAAGTTGAAGGAACACTGTATATTTGTAAGTTTGATGTGTGCAGAGACCTTGTGATTCGGTTGTGGGGCTTTGGCTCTTCATAGAGATCTCCGCCTTCAGAGAGGTGATCTCCAGCTCATACTCTTCAGTGGTGACATACAGGCGCTGGAGTTCTGCTCGGACACGACATAACTCCTCCTGTAAGGAGGCGATGTCGTTCTCTCTCTCAGCTGCTGCCTCTTCAGCCGCCTGCTGCAGCAACAGCACCTCCTCCTGAGCCAAACGCAGCTCCTCCTGCGCCTCCTCCTGCTCACTCTCCTTCTCCTCCTCCAGGCTGTCCATCTCCTCTTGCACACTCCGCAGTTGAGCTATGGACAGCAAGACAATGTGAGGCTGTATGTCAAATGCAACTTTTTAACTGATAAAGAAATACCTTGAAGTCTCTGAATCTGTCTTGTGAAGGTCTCGGCTTGATGGGCACTCGCTAGCCTTTCATCCTCTAGTAAACCTACAAGTAACACATCTCTTGTTATAATAATAATAATACAAATCAACAAAAAGAATGCATTGCTTTTATTATTCATTCACTCATAAACTACTGCACTATTGTAGCCACAGCTGCCATGGGCAGACAGATGGGGGAAATGCAACTAATCTATGCCATTATCCCGTCTGACCACAAAAAATTCACAATCACACAAGAGTCACACAAGTGTCTAGCCATGGAACACAACCTTAATTATATGTGTGGCATACTGGCATACTGTGGCAATGACCCGTACTTTACCGACTTGGGGGCCACTTAGTATGCTATAGGCCTACCTGATGCAAACACACATGATGATTTAATGTGTCTACAACAGAGTGTAATTCATAAACTGACGCTTCATTCCTGACAATACCTCATGAACTGACATACCTCATAAACAGACATACCTTGTAGTTCCAAAAAACTCTCCTCGTGCCTCTGGGACACTTCCCTTGTCTCCTCCAGCTCTAGTAGTTGTTGCACGACCTGTGCCTTGAGTTCCTCCACCTCCTGCTCCTCACTCTTTTCTTCTTCGGGTGTTTCCACTGTATATTCACATTTCTCCTCCTTAACCTCTTTCTCCTCATCCATTGGCATGTCTTTCTCATCCAAGGATTGACGCTCTTTGGCTGTCAACATCTCACCCAACATGATTGGCTTCTCCTCTTTAAGCTCACAAAGATCACCTTTGACAAAGCATAAACAAAAGTAGGACAAATTAATAATCTTCCTAAACTGCGCAAAACGATGTTTAGCAAATGTGATTTACTCATAATCACAACTTAAACATTTTTTGCCTATTACTGATATTTTCATAAAGTCAAATTGCAGAATCCCTGACAACATGGTTGTCGTCCTTCCCACAATGCCCAGGCTGATTTTAAACATACTACACTTTCTCCACACTTAAATAATCAAACGTTAGATTAATACACCTGACCTTTCAAGCCTAAAAACATTCATAAATAGCCATGATTATTATTGAAACAATAATTGTTTAAAACATAAATAAAAAACTTTACAGTTTTAAGCTTTTCCCCACAGGAATAATCTTGCAATTCGTTGTCATGAAAAAGTCATAATACAGTTGTATATAAAATACCCACCAGAGGGGTCAACAATCTCCTCTATCAGTGGGGGCAGGCGGAATCCGTCCATGTTAGAGCCAATGGATAAAGCGCTGCAGACGCCAGCAGGTGGATGAGGAGTGCTCAGACTTGATGTGGACTAGAACTTCTCATTCTTCTGTTAAGATGGGAAGCTAAGAAGTCCAAATTACAATCATGTGCTGCATTTAGATATAGAAAACAAACATAAGCAGCAAACATATAAAAATGTCAACAAGAAAGAAACATGGATAATCCTTCATATAATTTGAAGACATTTGACAGCATGAGACAGTCCCTTGTTGTATGGACGGTGTTTGTCATGAACCTGTGATGGACGCTAGCATCATAGGCTTCAGTGTGACCTTCCTTCAGAATAACAAAGAGCTGCTCTGCTGTATTGGCTGCATTGTGCCAAAGCATCTATTCCAGAGAAGGTGTCTGCAGAGTAACAGAACATGAATAAATACCTTGTTTAGTGTGGTGCAGAGTGCAGCAGCGGTGTTGCTTCCTCTCTCTGTCTTCACTGCAGATTTACTCCCTAGTCCCACATTTCCTCCTCAGCACCAGTGTGATGCAGAGACTACGTCACTGAACACACAGACAGACACACAGACAAAACCATGACATGAATACGTAATGAGCCTCTGACGCGCTTTATTAACCATTTCACGACCTATCACAGGTCCCAGCATCTAAACATAACAATTGTAGACCGTTCTAAGCTTCAGTAAAATACCACAATGCCTATTTTTCTGCCTGTTTGAAGTTTGAGTGAATGAAAACAATACATCATTTCTAATCTCCAGCCATCAAGTGGAGGGTTCAATTTCAATCCCAGTCCTTGAGGTACTGCACCCTCGTTTTTTCTTAATGACATTAATTTGTTCCAGAAAGGTAGTATTCATTGCTCCAAAAAAATATAACAATCAACAGATAAATAAAGAAATATGTAAATAAATACACTATAATAGACAAAAAATACACATTAAAAAATAAAAATGTATTATTGACAACAACTAGACATTGAATACTGGGGAAAATATCTAAAACGAAATCTCAGTGAATGTATTACCTCTCTTTTCTTTTGCACTTGAACATGAGATTAAGTAAACGCACAGGATGATGAGATTATGAATATTATGAAAGTATGAATTATTCTAGACATGATTTGTAAACTTTCTATCTTTTCTAATTCAACCCAAAACATGGTGATAAATATAGATTAAGAGTAGACAGAAAGTGCACCAATGTCATTGTTTAATCTTTGTAAATATTGTTTGGATATCATGGACCACATGTTTGTGTTACGCATTCCGGAGATGTCTATTTTAGCACTAACTGTACAGAAGATTCACACCGTTAACCAAAAATCCCTGATACATGTTTAAGCATGGGGATGAAGAGAGTCCTCTCAGTGAGGGCCAGGGACAGTGTGGAGTTGTCTCTGACTATTAGCTTGAATGTTACCAGTAGCTCACCATCTTCTTCCACGTACTCCTATGCTGATAAATATTACACATTTGTTTTACATACTCTTTTTCATTGAACATTTTTATTTTAGATACTTGATAAGCATAGTTGATCCCCATCTAAGTTTTATTTTTTTAATGGCATTTATTCGTGTGAGAGCCAGCTCTCAAGACCCTCGCTCTGCAGTACGCACTTCCCAGAGACTAGACGCCCTCTAGCGGGCATCTCGGGTAATTGTATCCCAAATCATCATTAATATTAACGTAGAAAAACCTCAAATACGACTTTGATGTGAGTCATATCATGTTTTAGATAATTCTAAATATGATGTATTGTATGTTATTAATATTTTGTGCAAATTGAATCTGCCAGCGTACTGAGCATGCGCAGTTCGTGTATGACGAAGAAGTACGTAACACCACATGGTCACATGGCTCAATAGTTACATGTTGAGAGAGAGGATATCTCACAAAGGTTACAAGGATTCTGGTAATTGTTTCAGATTTTATTATATCATGTGTGAAATGTATTTTCATGATTACGTTTGATGTATTATAGAGTGATTTCTAAAAGACTGACAGTGAATGGAAGCATTGTAAAATGTTAGTACTAGCTACTAGTTAGAACCATGGATCTATTATGGTTTGTCCTGCTGACTTCACCCAGAAAGTACGAGTCATTGAAGTAATGTGTGTAATGTTGTGTTCCAAGACTGCAAATATGAATTGTAATATTTATTTATTTTGAAAGACTGCAGAAGACCGTAAAATACTACATTTTTCCCTGGAACTCTGCTCCAGGGAAACTAGTTGTATTATCTAGCTACTACTGGGACATCGAGGTTCTCCTACTTCATGTACGAGTTCAACTGTGACAATTACCAGAACAGATAACTGCAGATCGGAGTATTTGTACACCATCTACTTAAACTAATAAAGTTAGCTGCGCTTTAGCATTAGCAACTCTGCAGACGAATTTGATGGTGTATTTTCGGTTTGAAGAATACCAGTTCCCCAACTTTACGCATTTGTATCATATTTAAACGGCTCTTCATATTTACAGTCTGGGGATCCATTCAGTTAAACAATCCATTATTCAATCTCGTATGTGTTTTGCAGGTCTGTGAAGAGATGTTGGCTTTAAGATGTAATCAGATCATGCAGATGTGCAGGGGACTACAGACACGTGCATATCGGCCCACCATTGGCACACAGCTTGTCAGATGTAATACACATGGTCAAAGACTGGTCCAAATAAGATACTTATCCCAAAGGAAAATCCCTTCTGCAAATCTTGCCAAAGTAAATCTCAGGTCACGTCTGCTGATCACACTACTTTTTGGAGGTGGTTTGTTTGGAGCCTGGTACTATGTTTATTTAGAAAAGCAAAAAAAATTCCAGTTGCAACGTTTACATCAGCTGAAGCAAGTATCTCTTGGACAAGGCACGTTTAATCTGGTGGACCACAATGGCCAGCGAAGAAACAAGCAAGACTTTATCGGAAGTTGGGTACTCCTATATTTTGGCTTCACTCACTGTCCAGACATCTGCCCTGAAGAGCTGGAGAAGCTGAGTGCTGTTGTGTCCGTGCTTGATCAGGACTCATCATTGCCAAAGGTACAGCCGCTCTTCATCACTGTGGACCCTGAGAGGGACACTGTATCAGCTTTATCGGCATATGTTAAAGACTTTCATCCACGCCTGATTGGTTTGACTGGCTCATCTGAGGAAGTGAAACATGCAGGACGAGACTATAGGGTGTATGCAAGTCCCGGCCCTAAAGATGAGGATGGAGACTACATAGTGGATCATACCATCCTCATTTATCTCATAAGCCCAGATGGACTTTTCTTGGATTATTACAATAGGATGAAGAGCCAGGAACAAGTCATTGAAAGCATTAGAAACCACATGAAGACCTATGTCACAATCTCTGAAAGTTGAGAACAAAATTATCTTCCTAGCCTTACAACCAGACACTGGTGCAATCTGAAAAGATGAGAAAATGTAAAACAAGTATCTCATAGTTTATTATATTCACTATTAAAATACAATTTTGCCACACAATCAAGATTTGAACATAATTCTATTGATATTGTTGTGATATTGTGATAGCCTTGGAATAAAACTTGACGTGTATTTTCTTTTTCATGAGAAATTTGTTTTAAACCTTTCAGTGGCTCTGTGAACACTGAGAAGAGTCAGTCCCATGGAATCTACACTCTCTTCCAGTCCTGCCACACTGTCAATCTCTACTGTATAATCATTTGCCTAAAAACAAGAGAGAAAACATATTCATCAAGTTGCTAATTGTCAAACACCCACATGTTTGTATACATTACCAGTTGTAAGGAGCTCAGTAAGTATTTGCACACTTCAAAGTTGTCCAATCCAGACACTATAGAAAAAAAGCTTTTGTGCTGGCCAACATTCTCAAATGTATTTATAATCCTGTCACTGTAATCATGAATATTAAAAACCAGTCGTTCTTCCTAAAAGTGATGACAGAAACCAATGAGCACGTTTACATTAAGACATCTATGTTTCATCATGTTACCTGCAAAGCCAGTTCAGGTTTGATCTTGTCTTCCCATTCTTTGACTTTCCGAGATAGTGCCGTCTCCTGAGTGTATCCTCTGGAGTTGACCACTAGTTGCTCCTGTTTGTCAACAGGTACATTAGAATGTGCATCGATTGTAGACAAATAATCAGTTAATTGGCGGTGAAGAGTACTCATTACTTACAACACGCAGTTTCACGAGTTGTTCATAACTCAAGTCATCTTTTAGATTTTCTGTAAATAATACACGACAGTATTACATATTTCAAATACAATCGTATTGGAGTCTATATTAAGTATCTAGTCCTGTGTGATGCAGTGATTGTGCAAGTATGAAGTTACTGAAGTGCTGTCATACCTGGTGATATGAAGTCAGGCCCACTCATAAACTCAGCTGGAATGTCATCAGGAAACTCATCATGGTCATTATCAAAGTCGTCATTGTCATCTTAAAAAATATCACAATCCAAATTAGCAATTGTGACTAGGACAATCATTATAATGGAGGTGTTCTAAAAACAATATTTCTTGACCCTAATGCTATTCGACAATATTTTCTGCTTAACAAGTTCACTCCATTCTCGTATCAGACAGAATGAAGCTGCCACATCTGAACAGAATCATAGTCATTTGTTTTATTATAATAGTGAAAGTGTGTATTAACCAATTAAATTAACACCTACTGTTAAATACAACAAAAAAGCTCAAAGCTAGTTTTCACCCATAGTTCCATTTTACAGCGCTCAGCCTAGCGCGAAAACTGCACCAGGTCACCATGAGTTGTGTAAGGGTTAGGAGTCTCCCTGTCCAGAAAAATGAGGGGAACCTTCTGTCTTAGCTAAATACAGAGCAGCAGATGTCACACCTCTTGAGTTTACAGCACTGTCAGTCTCGGGTAACTTTTTCACACACCAGCCAAGTGTCAAAGCAGTCCCCAAATGGTAGACAGTAGAAAGAAGCTAGAGTAATTTACTACCACCTTATGGAGTGTTAGAAATAAACAACGTACAAGGTACAAAAAAAAACTGCTGTAAACTGCAACCTAATTTTTGGATGCAAATATTGCAACAGCCAACAAGGCTGTGCATTTCTTTTACCTAGAATTCCTGCAGGATTGACTTCATCTGCAGCATCTTGCCTCTGGTCTTCTGGCTGCAGAAAGGTTTGTCTTAGTTCTTCATCAGACATTGTTATGCCCTGTGGATAAAACTCCCAAAATACCATTAGATTACAAACACACTGTAGACAATAGGACGAGGCCCCTCTTCCTTACTGCTTTTTTGTAGATTCCTTTTTTGTTCTTAAATTTGTCCTTGACTGTGGTTAAGTAAATGTAATTAAGGTCTGAAAAAACAACACTCAATTGAGTTTTATCTGTACAAAGAAAATGTACATGAATAAATGTGCAGTTACCCATAAAAGCGGGTCCATTTTTCAATTTGTGCGTTGGAGGATCAACTACAATGAAAGCAGTAGATTCTAAATTAATACAGAGTTAAATGAACAAAAGCCATTAGATCATGAAGACGTACAACTTCCTCTGAACCAGGTCTCAAAGTCTTGCATTACGGAGGCACGTTTTCTTTTCCTTTTTCCTCCATCTAATCCTTCGGGAACCTTGTAGCACTTGCCTGACAGGAAAGATTATTATTATGTGCATAAAATTGAATGTAAGGCGATTCATACCTGGTGTAAAAGGCTTTTGTTCTACCAGGGCGGCATAGGGGTCATGTAATTGCCACACGTTTACCTAATGCAATAATCTATTAGTAAAACAAAGCTACAGAATATAACAAAACATTTCTTACAAACATACTTCAGCCGGCGGCACTACTTCCTTTGGCTTACTGGCTTCTACATGTCGTCTTTCTCTAATCAATCTGCTTTCGGGTGGAGCCTGAAAAAACACGAGTTTGTTGGAAATTTAAATCATAAAACTGAAAAGACACAAAAAGTATCGCACGATCTGACCTGAAGTCTTTCTCTGTGCTCTTCTGGTCCATGCTCCATATCCATGCCGCCATCATCATTTAGCGGAAAAAAGTCATCTTCTACAGCATTTACATTTTCCTCTGCTCTTGTAGCATTTGGACAAACTGGAGAATCTTCTACAGGGAAATGGAAGGGTGGAAAAAAGTATGAGACATTGTTATTATGATTAACAATGAATCAATCAATTGCAATGAAATCGATTTAAATAATTGGGAACTTTTTCAGTAATGGATTAATTGTTAACTGCTCTATTTAGCGACCCCACACATTTAATTGCGACTCAGCACGTTTAAGAGTCAAATGAAATTAAATCAAAACAAGAACAGCATAAAATATCTTAATTTAATGATAAAATAGTTCTGAAAACATTAGTTATGATAATAAAGTAACACGTACCACTGAGTTGAGGTTGGTTGACTATACAATCTGCTGCAGTGGGCTGATAATCTTCCATCAAGCCCCTCGACTCATCAGATGCCAATGTGAGTAGAATAGTACCATTTTCAGGAATCAATGTAATTAGCCTGAAGTCTTTCTGGCTGTACAGAATCTCACCTTTGAGACTGAGAACAAGAATGAATAAAATATATCTGACAGGTTTATATGTTTGACAACAGTTGTGTGATTGATTGTGTAGGGAATAGTCCTGACCTAATAAGGGGAAGTTTGTGCTTCCCTCTGCTATCTTGAGGAATCAAGCATTCAGGAGGAAGAGGGACATCATTCACCGCCTGAACAAACGTTTAGAAGAACTTTAGCAACTTTAGATTGACAGTGTAATGAAGATAGAATACTCACTCGAGAAGGATCCCAGTTATCATTTAGGTTTGAAGGATCAATGTCAATATCTGTAAACTTAAGTTTAACATATTTGAGTAATTTACTGATATGGTGCACACACATACAATAAACACTTACCGTAGCATAATCTTCCTCTTGGTTTTGTATTTCTTCTTCTGCATGGTTCTCTTCAGATTCTGCTGCCTGCTTGCTTTTTCTTTTAAAATAAATAGATACAAAATCCTTCAACACTATAACTTCATCTTAGTCATTGTAATATTACTAATTACACAATTATAAAGAGTCTTACTTTTGTTTTTTATCGTTGATGTACCCAAGGGTATTGTAGACCAAGCTGTGTAGAAGCTCCACCTAACAAAGAAAAATATACTGACAGAGTTGAACAATTGAAATGACAATATTCATACTACCAAACCTTTTTGCTGTAGATGCATGCAGATCCCTGAATCAGCAGGGCAGCCTCTGAGAAGTTTAAGCCGAGTTCGCCTTCATCAAATGTGATGCACATCTGATCAAGCTTCCAATAGAGCACAACTTAAGTTAAATTAGAAAGCACCCATTTGTATACATTGGCCGTTTCAAAAATCCATAATTCTACCTCTTCCAAATAATCATTTAATTCTGAGGCAATGTCCACTTCCCAGTTTTTGGTGAGTTGTTTAATGGGCTGTAGCAGGTGAGCAAATCTGCTGCCTGGGGCGTCCATGGTTCACTGAGGGGAAGAATCATGGGAAGAATGGGCAATTCGCAACAACAATTGACTAATATAAAATGCATCTGTGATATGTTAGTCCCATATGAACCAACTCGGATTTAAAATATCTTTATTTTTAATGTACTGTGATTATTTATGATTTTAATGCCATCTTGTTTTGTTCAGCACTTTGTGTTGTATGAATTGTGCGATACAAATAAACTTGCCTTGCCTATTTATGAAGTACAGTTCATGCTGTCCAACCCATAGTGCTTAACCATAGACTGTAAATGCTGCTTAACACGCCAAAATCATTACATTTAAAATATAAAACAGTGCAAATACATATAAAACAAAGTGTAAAAAATCTGTAATACCAGTAAGTTAATTAAATTAGTCGTATTCACAGGCAAATGCTTCAGTTCTCAACCTGGACTTAACAATAAACATAAGTATGAAAAGTAATATTCACAAAAATAAAATGCCTGTTGCTCATATTTTTTATAGCATTATCTCGTCAACAGGTTAAACAATGTATTTAGTGGAAAGCATAAACCGGTAGCTATTTTACTTACTGAATAGTTGTGCGTACCCAGGACAACACAAACAGCGCGCCTGCTAAATGTTTTGGTAGCTGTTAGCATTAGCATGTGTCAAACATCCCGCGCGACTGACTTCTTCCTGTTTACAACATGTGGCTACAAACCGTGGTAAGCTGCTTTACTGACACCCATTGACGCGGAGGACAGAGTGTGCGTTTGATATGATTTATTTGTCTTGTAAATGTGATTTTTAAGTCGTTTATTTGTATTTGTTCGTTTACTATTTATTACGTATCTGGTTGTTGTCTAGCGCGCGTTTCTCACTGTTGTTATTGAAATAGCTTTGCATGTGACGCCTGCTTCTGTGTAATCTGGACTACCTTAAATCGTGTGTGCCGCTGGCCGCTTGTCACTGTTCCTGGAAAGTTCCTGGAAACGCTTGTTTCTTGGAGCTTTACACGGTTGTTTCTACAGTCGTCAGTGTCGGTGGATTGAGTTGCCTTTTTCAGGGACACTGCTTTTTTTCACAAGAAGCGTATAGTTCGAAAGTGCTCCGGGTTTAACCTTGCAATAAATGTGGACTTTTATTACACGGACAGATGAGTTATTATTCCATCCTGGTTCCTGCAATACATGTTGTGTGGCGGTGCTAAACGTGAGGCTCCTGTTTTCGAGCGACTGCAAACAAACCTGCTCATGAGGTGAGATTATAATCCCTGTGCTGTCATGTCGTCCTTTCTCAGAGAAGCTACACACGCACGAGGCTCACATCGCGGTAAACTAACACCAAAGCCTCAGCTCCCCGCGTTGGTCTTCCTGTCAAGACCATTGATTTTTTTCTTCTATATGTTCATCCAACATGGCTCCGATGGGATGCCTTAACAATGCGTGCAAGCATCGCGAGCACTAATTATGCTATCCTACTGTGTAAAAAAGCCTAATGAATATATATGTATATTAATTGTATATAATTTACCTTACGAAAGTATACTAAACTAAAACAAAGTGTAATATCAAGCTGATAGGCATTTTACTAACATTTACTGTACTAACTCCTTCAGGGCAAGAAGGAGCTGATGCACCCTGGTCCTGAGCCCTGAGGTGTGGATTTACCAAAGGCTGATGGTGCTGACTTGAAAGGTTGATCTTTTCGATGACCTGCCAGTCATTTGAAGCCAGTGAGAGACGAGCAGATGCCAACACTAGAGCTGTGGAATCCGATGAGAGCCACATCGCTTTAGCTATGAAGGAATTAAAAAACACAGGTTTGTACATTTTTACACACGTTCTACCGATATCCTATTTAACACGTATGTTATGTTTTCTCTGTAAACAGGCTGGTACTGGGGCAGTTTGACAGCCAATGGTGCCAAAGAAATCCTCCAGGATGCCACTGAAGGCACATTCTTGCTCCGGGACAGCTCACAGAGGGATTATTTATTTACCATCTCTGCTGTAACATCAGCAGGTCCCACTAATTTACGCATTGAGTATAAACACGGAAAGTTTAAGTTGGACTCAATTGTTCTTGTCAAGCCTAAACTTAAACAGTTTGATAGTGTTGTTCACCTGGTAGAGCACTATTTCAAGCTGTCAAGGAATAGTGATATGACTACTATGGACTGTCAACCATCAGCATCAACAAATGGAACAGTGCAGTTGATCCTCACCAAACCTCTGTACACCTCCACACCATCACTGCAGCACCTGAGCCGTATTGCCATTAACAGGAGAACACAGCAGATCCAAGCTCTGCCCCTACCCAACCGACTCAAGGACTATCTTCTGGACTACACCTATAATGTGTAGCTGCTAACTATCTTTCACTTGTGGATGGGTGGATTTTAACATAACAGAGGTGAAAAGTCACATAAACCAGCGTTTATGTGACTTTTCTCCACTGTATACAATATGCAGTGAAACTATTAACATGTTGTAGGGATGTATCGATATTGGTAACAAATATTGGCTTTGATCTAAGAAAAATGGGGATATTTATTTCTTAACCTGATGGTGTGTTCCAGGCAACTGGTAGTTTTATTATTTATAATGCAAATGTTAATCAATTGAGCGAAACGCATTCATAAACCCGGGTACTTCGACTGAGGTGTTGCAATCCAACTGGTCGGGACCATTTGTACTCGGATGTTTGCCTCATGTAACCACATACACCGATTTCTACAGACTAGAGACAAGACAAGCCACTTCATATAATGGCTGTTATATTTAGTATAACAATTTTTGGTAAACATAATTGATTTTTATCAGTAATTACCGTCCCAACGAGTGCGTGTTAAATTATGGTAAGCCTTTTTCTAGTGTCATGAAGCATGCTGTACCCGCACCAAATGTGTATTGAGACAAAAATAATTAGAGTGGTTTGTGGAAAAAGTTGTGCGGCATAGCCCATAATTGCTAAAAGAAGTATTTTTTATGCAATATTCTGTCCTTACACCAGTATAACTCTAGTGTCAATAACCGAAGGTGCTGTAATAAGATATTTATATGCTAAAGAATCATCAGCATTGCAACTGAAAAAGGTTTATTGTGCATCCCTAAATATTTTGGACCTGTTGCCACTTTGTAAATATTTAATAATTTATGAAAACCGGTTGTTGCAGTTGTTTTTGTGTACATTCAACACTATTTAACCCTTTAGGCATCAAAGTAGCACAATTGCTACGGTACATGACTTCAGGACACCTTTGCTATAGTGACCTGGCATCCCACAAACGTTTTCTCGCATATTTATGTTTTATTTATTGTATGTATGTTCTTATTTTTAGTACTGCCCTATCTCTTATACACTTTCAGGGTGTGACGTTTTGTACATAGCATTTCTCAAGTCAAGGTTTAAAATGCTGGACATACTTTCACTTTGCAAGACTTGAATGCTGCTACCAGAGATCAGCCTTCACAAATCCAAAGACTTTGATTCACACAGTTTCACGCCCCATAACACATTTTAGGGCAGAAACAACTTATTGCAATAATTAGTAAATACTGTGGATCAAT